TACCACAGACCAGAGATTTCACTCGACCTACATTGCTTGTGAGAATATCCAGCATCTGATACATTAACAAAGATGTGCCTAGAATTCGACTAATTCGGAATATATTTGTCACGTTCATTAGGAACAACACTAGTGAAAGATCCACTGTGAAAGCAAATATCATCTGATGCGACACCATAAGGACCGTAATCAGATTTTAACTCATGTTGGAGTTGTTCCTCACATTTGATTACAATTTCAATAGAAATAAGTACATCATCAAGACAAGCCAAATCTGATAAAATAGCGTCACAGATCTGATCAGGATTTAGTGCGCTTGACATATCTTCCACATATTTGTAAATAATTTCATTAGAAATACATAAATCATGGGAACAATGCATATCTGGTATAATAATATAATGAATCCGATTTGAGTACGATTCATTTTTGCAATTAACTCAATAGGATCGGAATTACAAAGTCTAAAATTACTTGCAGCGAAATGATTAATAGTATTACAAACCGCCTGTATGTGTCCGATTTTAACAAATTTAAAGCATTTAGCATTACGAAATACACATGAATTACATGAGTGTAATTTGCCACACGACAAATATTTACCAAACTTTGACTCACATTCTTAACCTTCTTCCCAATTCCTCAATAAATCGTTATCTACATAACTTTGAGTACTCATTTGATTTGGATGACGAAGTGATGTAGTGGAATCCTTGATGTCCAGATGACTCATTTTACGAAGTTTTCCTCTTTTACCGCATTCGAAATGTGTACACTTTACATGGTCTAGTAGTGGTTGCTTCAGAGCTGAATAAATAAGTAAAATAGGCTTTTCTGGAAATATCGAAGATTTTAATAAGCTGCAGTCTTCTTTTCCGATGAGTGTAAGAAAATGGGTCACATTATTAGCATTCCCAACATCTTCCCTGATCACAGTTCAGATTTCGAAACTTTCTATGTAATTTTCAAAATCATCATAATATAAATGTATGTTCAAATGTTTCATCACATGCTTCACGGCGACGCCATTGTGATGATCAGTAGTACTTGAATTAATATATAACTAGAACTTCCTAAAACAGTGCAATTCTCAGCGAATAGAACTAGGTGAGCACAAATAAATGTATTGCATCTGGAATTCGAAATCAGGCAGTTATCAAGTACAAAGTAATCATAAGTTCACACAAACACCACACCTTTACCAACTAGTATTTCATACCTTATCAAAGAATCTCACAGATATTTAGGATGTAAATTCACGGCTGTATGAAAAGGCCGAAATCCTAATCTGAAACATACTTCCGTTTATTTTGCCCAATATGGTAAACATTGCACCATATCCAAACGATGATAAACTCAACGAATAATTGTGAATTATGTCATAGGTCACAAAAACATTCCTTAAGGTAGAGTCCATGGTTTGTGACTTACCTTCAACACTTCAAAGTGTAAAGTAGTCCATCTGAGACATGTTGCAGACTTCATTTACAACTTAGGGAACTCCTCTCTAGAAGTATCCCATGTTGAAAAAATATTTAGGAGTACTGATGCTATACAATTTGAAGTCTTACGTTATCTGTAACAAAAAGGCCTTGTACCGATAACCTTGAAGCGCATTTTTAGCCAGTTTGACGGTAGAACTTTCCACATAAGTTCGGAAACATAGTTTTTCCTGCTTCACTCCAAAAATATAAGGACACTCTGGAACGTGTCCATCTGCGAGCCACGAAATCAGTTTGGGGACTTAAATTCAAGCATTATGAAGAGCGCCTATAGTCACAAAACCTTTACCCATTAGAGAATAGGCATTTTAGAGGTAACCTAATTACTTGCAGTATCCTTATCACTTCTTGAATCCCCTTGAATACCTAATTAAGTTTAGCTTCAACACAAATCTAAGGAGCAACACTCAGAAACTGGAGACACAACATAGCAGAACGGACTATAGACACAATTTCTACTCCTTAAGAGTTTTCAAATGCTGTAGTTCGCTGCCTGTTGAGCTAGTACAAGCGACTTCCAAGGAGTCCTTTAAGAGGAAACTTGACTTATTCTTAAGGACTAAGGATAATGCTTTACTGTGATTAACCAATTTTTTTTTATTGTCATTAAAATACCTAGGTTCTTTCCTGGAGGTATCGGTGATCCATTGTTACTAAACATGGAAGCCCTTAAATCGAAAACTTCTTCTATTCCGTCCACAATCCTTCTAACCATTTGAAGCCAGAGCTTCTTGTATTCCATGTACGATCGTATACCAGTATTCCTTAGAAAACTCCCCTCTAATAGTATCCCAAGTCGAAAAAGATTTAGGAGTCCTGGTGCCCTACGATTTAAAGTCTTACGCTAACTGTGACAAAAAATGCCTTCCGAGCAAACCTTGCACTGGTAACATTGAAGCGCAATTTTGGCCAGTTTGACGGAAGAACTTTCCATACAATCTTCCATAGTTTTATCCGTCCCCATTTAGAGTACGGAAATATAGTACTCCCCCCTCACTCCAAAAGGACAAGGTCACTTTGGAGCGTATCCAACGGCGAGCCACGAAATCAGTTCGAGGACTCAAATCTAAGCCTTACGACGAACGCCTCCATTCACTAGACCTTTACCCATTAGAGTATAGGCGTCTTAGAGGTGAGTTATTAATGGCTTATAGTATTCTTAACACTTCTGGACATCCTCTTAAACACCTACTCAAGCATAGTTCGAATAATAACCTAAGGGGTAACACCCAGAAACTGGAAACTCAACATAGCAAGGCGGGATGTAGACACAACATCTACTCCTTAAGAGTTGTCAAAAGCTGGAATTCGCTGCCGGCCGAGCTAGTCCAAGCGACTTCGCAGGAGTCCTTCAAGAGGCAACTTGACCTATTCTTAAGGACCAAGGACAGTATCACACTATGATTTACCAATTTCTTTTCCTCTTTTATTGTTAACATACCTAGGTCCCTGCCTGGAGGATTTGGTGATCCTCTGCTACTAGACACGGAAGCCTGTTAAGCGAAAGCTTCTTCTATTCCGTCCACAATCATTTGAACCATTTGAACCATTTCCTCAATCGAAGGTGAGGCGCAAGATTTGGTTCGAAGGTCATTCTGTTACAGTAAGTATATCTTGCTGGATATCAAAGTAAACTTATACGTTGTACGTTCCGTGGCTAATCTACTTTATGCAAGGCGAAATTGTATAACGACTAATTCTTGAGTGATTGAATTTAAATACGGAATGTAGTCCACAAAGATGACATTTCATTGAAGCCGATTGCGTTTGACTATAATATATGGACGACTTGTAAGGGATGGTTAGTTTACTTTTAGGATATCCACTTATTTAATAGGGTCATATGGGGGTTGAAATTAGGTGTATGGAACCAAGATCCGGATTCGCATTTTAGCGTTAACGTTAGATTTGGACACAAGGACTAAGATTTTCGATGAGTCTATAATTTATGGACGACCGATGAACGACTCTAAAAAGACCTTAAGAATGCACACATACATAATACGGCCAAACCAGGGTTATAGAACTGAGGAATTTAGATTAATGTTTACAGTTGATAGTCAGGGTTAGTAATTAGATTCAGGTTTTTCATCACGAACTGACATAAGCTATAATGCCAAGACTCTATTTAGCCAAATGAGTGAATTAATTTTTCACCAAAAATCAGGGCCTGTCATCGTAAATCTGGTTGGTTTGTCCAGATTTTCGTCATAAACTGACATATGCTATAAAGCCAAAATTCAGTTTCAGTTTGGGAAGGACAGGAGGCCTAATGGCCTGTGTTAGTCATGGCAATGGTGGTCCCTCAGTTGATGCAACTTTCTTTTGAAAGAATCGACGGGTGGAGACTCAACCACGTGCTTAGGTAATGAGTTTCACTCGTTGATGATTCGTTGGGAAAGTCGATAGTCAGCTGACAAGTAATTTGTTCTTGGCTTGTGAACTTTTTGTAGTGTCCTCGTAAATTCTCTGTTTTGGAAGACAAGAAAAATGAGGGAATATCAGGTGCAAATTCGGCATTAAGCAATTTGAAAACTGTGATCAAGTCGCCTCTAGTTCTGCGATATGACAACGGGAAAAGGTTCAGCTTGGCCAGTCGAGCTTCATACGGAAGCTTCGCTATTCCGGGAATCAGCTTAGTTGCCGTTCTCTGAACTTATGGATCAATTAATTTCACGCCAAAATCCTCAACCTGTTGTCTTAAATTTGATCAATTTAGCTATAAACTATAGTCCCACCCAAAGATTTATCGGAAATCTTAGTTTAAAATCAGATACCTTGACTCTGTTTGCTAATAGTTTCTTAATTATTCCCAAAATTTCGTCCAAACGTTTGACTCGTGTGTTACAATTTTTGCGTGGTGAGAACAGAAAACCGTCTGCTCAACAGTATCTGCATAATAGGTAGTTCATTTCTTTGTAGCGTTTCTTCTCGTTAACTGGTGAAATATAATTGGGAGCACACTTCTGGAAAGTCACATATAATGGTAAGTTAGCTATCAGCTGCTCTGCTTTTTAAGTGGTATCTTGGTTAAGAACAGTCTGTGACGAGTATCCCCCGCACTCGCGGTTAGTTTCCATAAGTCATTAATAAGTTTAGGGAGTTTGTCTTCAGCTTTACCTTGGAATTTACTTAAATACATTTCAAGTATGTTAAAATGTTTGGGGTCTTTTCATTAGAAACCCGTGCTATTTTAGTCAGGTTTCTTTTACAGTTACATTTATTGTGATTTTTACCGGGTACCTGCGAAAATTGAGTCTTCATAGTCAGGTTATCAACAAACTCACCATATTTTGCAGTAAATAAAATTTCAGTTTGTTTTTGAAAATGGACTCTTTTACTCGATTGTATAATCTTGGATTCTACTAGTAATTATCTTCTTGCCCCACTTAATATTTTTAGATGTAATATGTTTTAAAGTGCTCTCCAACCTGTAAATAATCAATTTGCGTGCGTCTGGCTCTCGATTGCCGTGCTTTCAAAGTTCTATCAGTGGCAATGCAGAACAATCATTCTCCTGAATGCCTTGATTTTTCCGATGAGATTTGGCAACCACGTAACCAAACTACCCTAGAATGTTCTGAACTTCCTGTAACTACTCGATATACAGAAGTCGTAAATAGGACTTCAAGTTTACCCTTTCCTTCAAATGGTTTGTTGGGTGGTGAAGATTCTTCCCTGCCTGTTGTCGAAGATAATATATATATAAGTCAAGATAGGAATACTGCTAATTTACAGAAGGCAAAAAATGTACGACAGAGTTTACGATCATTCCTACGCAAAGCCACTAGTTTGAAGGATTCTCGTTCGAATTTAAATATCGAATGTTCTGTTATCGGTCTTGATGGAAAATGCTTCAGGTTTAGTTTGTGTGTAAGTTTAACTTTTCCTGTCGGTTTTTGATAAACAACCATTCAAAGTATTACAAAGCGTTTCATTGACTAGTGTATGATATTAAATAGCTGGTTTTCCGATTGTCTTTTTCCGGTACTAAGCTGAATTCTGGAAGTGTTAGATTTCCAATCAAGGTATGTAACTCGTTTGCCAATTACAGGTATCCGGCTTTTTGCTAGTGATATTATCTGGCTACCTCAACTAGGGTCGCTGTTACGAGGTTTGAGAATGAAATCCAATAGTTAAAAAATGTGAACTTTTACCTCAGTGTATGAATGTATGAATGTTGTTTGTAAGTGAATAGTAATAGCAAGCTAATTAGAATCTCGTAGGGAATCGAAGATGGTGTGTGAGCAGAACTTACTTAGTGTCCATTACACAACTCCTAAATTTATATGATATGCTATATTATGTATTCAATGCAATGAGTAGATTTCGTGTTTAGTCCGTAATTTAAAACTAATATATGGGAACAGGGAGGAATCATAGGACCTCATATTTTTGAGTGTTTGTTTAACTATGGAATAGTGAAATGTTCTTTTTCTGTGGTAAATTGTTTGCAGCCCAATTACTTGTTATGTACACATCATAATAAAACAATAATGAAGTGTCACGTATTAAGGAATAATTATCCTTGCAAATTTGTTTCACTCGAATACATTATGAGATCCTTCTAAACGAAGAGTTTTTATTATTGTATATAATGGTTGAATGTGACATATTGACTTGTCAGTTTTACTTGTAATAGATATTGATTAACATGGGTGACTTTCATTGAATATGTAGGTGGTATATTTCCTAGTTTCACTCTGTCGTCTTGCTCTACAAATGATAAAGGTTAGTCCATTGATTAATAAATAGAGTGCTCACTCGGGTAAAATTGTAATCCTTATGACTTTAGAATACAGTTTTATTTATAATCAAAGATATTTGTCCTCAAATTTACGCAGATCTTACTTACAGTGCATTTGGCTCATTATAGAGGAATGATCTGTCTAGGATTCCCAGATTGATATTCAGTTTTCAGCACTGTATTTAACTCCGTAACTCCTAGTCGGTAAGAACAGACAAATCTGTATGGATATTCTCTGTATGGTGTAATTGCACATAGTTAAGGGGAATATACTACTTCGTGATTTATCTATGTATTTCTATCATTATCATTGTTTGTTACAAACATCTTTTATTTATCTCCGTAAACAGAAATTCGCTTTGGGGCGTGAGCTCTTTGATTTGGTTTGTCAGTGTCTAGAGTTAGAAGAGTCACAGTACTTTGGTTTGGCGTACTATTTAAACCATTCAGCTACAAGAAACTCTATGGTGGGAACTCATCAAGATGAACAAGATAGTTCTGACGCATCGTTTCATCTGTCTTCCTCTTCGATTGATAAATCTTACTTGACTAAATTTTGTGGTTTCCCCATGACCAACTCGTTCAATCCTTGTAAAATGTACTCGAATGATACAACATATCCTGGCTTTAATCCCTTTTTCATTGACGTTCCTGTAAGTCAATTTCTACTCATTTCTAAATTTCTTAGTTATCTACTACTATATCTATTAAGCATATACTTTACGTAGTAATGACATGACTGCTTGGATTTGTTTTAAAGTAAATTTTCTTATTTTGTAGCAACAGCGTTTTAACTATTATTTAAAGGGGCTCTCAATTTTCATGACAGTCTGTCTTGTGAAGTCTTCAAAGAACTTGTAGTTGGATTAACTGAAGTATGGTTATCGGAATTATTATTAGCACACTAAGTTTGCTCGTTTGTTTTTCCGAGGATTAACTAAAATCGTCATATGTTAGTCAAAGAAAAGTTAGTTTAACTGAATTTTCTTTACAAAACGACATCAAACGTAGTTGTATATTTTCAACAACCGTAAAAGTTTATTGATTCCAGCCGATTATTTTGAGGACAATATGTCCTCATGGTTTCACACTTGAGTTTATAATTTTGTGTTTAATGAATCACAACTAACCTTACATTGATTGCATACTTTTATCGCTTGTGAATATGTGTTTTGGCATGCATTAAGGGGCCATGGTTTCGGCATATAATATCCACTCTTCACTCATCTCGAGATCAATGTTTCCATTACAGTTTGCGCAAACATATGATGTTGTTGATCTTCAAAGGATAAATAGTTTAGTTCACAGTTTTACTATATAAATCTATGTGTGCTTAATCTTTTGAATTGTCTCACACTTAAACATCGATTATTATTTGTAAAATTGACCAAACTTTATTTGTTTATACTCACAAAATGTTATATATCTCATTCAGTTTTGGTTAGATGTGGAAAAAAGAATAACGGATCAATGTCATGGTGAGTGAGTTTATTATTATTTGTTCTTTGATATTTATTATCGTTTTGTGATCATTGTTGTTCATTCCTTCATTCAGAGGAGCATGCACGTTTTACTACAGCCTTTTTAAATGGTTGTACTGTAGTCTGTATCATAGAGAAGGGTTTCAGATTTTCGGTAGTTAAAGTAATCAATAATTTTGTGATCGGTCGTTGGTACACAGTGGCTCATGATTTAGTTTACTGATGAAATCTCAAAATATCAAGCAGTCGACTCAACGATCTGAATGGACTGATATCAAAATACAAAATAGCTTACCAGGAAATGTTTTTTTGTGTGTTAAAATGATGCGCACACAAAATATGGCAAAACATAGGCAGACATGATAATATATGAATGGGCTTTTGTGTTGAATTCACCCTCCGACGAGATCAGTACTTGATCATAATTATATTTGTCGACCTTTGGTTATCACTCGACTTCCTTGACCTAGGGATCTTATGGCAGTGTTTTGCATTTGAGATCCATTTCTTCCGTTCTAGACGGAAAATTTCGCTTCACGACTGGCGTAAATAATCACCTAGATTAGACATAAGGAGTGAAGTGATTGAATGAATTGCCTTCTTCACTTATCTTGGGAGTCTCATCAACTCTGATGAGCTAGTATCGTACTAATCACGGCATGGGTTCTGAAAGCTTTATATGTCTATATGGCATTTGATTAGTTGGTACATTAGCGTCTTTATGCCTTTGAACATATCACCTCCACTTGTTTCTAACGAGTGACCTTAGTATTTACAGGGTTAAGCTGTCTTATTTCAGGAGAATAGGACAAAAGAATATAACAAGTGAGAATTGAAACTTTTAAAGAAAGCAAAGTAGTGGAAAGAGAATGTAAGAGAAGGACTTTGGTGATAATTTTAATCAGCTCTCTTTGGTAGCAAGATGATGAATCAATGAAATTATGCTACCAGTTTTATTGGTGAGAGAAATCACGCAGTCTTCTGATAATAATATCAGGTTTTATTAATTTACGAACCTCATCCAACATGGTAGCATCTACCTGTTCAACTCTGATAAACAGTTATTTTCGTTACGAACTATGTCAATCTAGTTATCTTGTAGTTAAATGTAATTTAGTTTACATTTCTTGAGTGAGATTGACTAATCTTATTCAAGTCAGTTTATACATGGTTATCTAGTTGTATTTGTGTTTACGCCTATTGAATTGGGTTTATTCATTGCTGGGAATTTGTTATAGTTTTCTCCCTTGACTTTTATAATTTAATTCACCTTACAGTAGAAAAAAGAAACTCAATAAATGTATTAAAAGTGAACATTCGTCTTAATCTTTGTTCACTTTTTGTTTGTTATAGTCCCGGTGTTTTGCTTCAATAATACCTATCTATATTAAGTCGGTAGTTGACCTTTCCCTTACTTTTGTAACGTTGTATACTTTTGCTGTGTGGATCCAAATTGACCTAACTTGTTTTTTTTACGGTTCGAAATTGCTTCCATGCACTAATTATTTCACTATTCAATATTTTTTATTCATAAGTGTTACCTCTTTTTCGTTTGTTTTTGACGTTATTTTAAAGAATTGTTTTTCTTTATATATATACTTTGTCATTAGGTCTTAATATTTAGAAAGTTAGATGTATTAATAGTTTTAGTGGGACATTTCTCATAGTTGAGCTATTTCTTTGAAGTCCGTGTTATCAATGACATACTAATTTTAATATCTATAAATTCACAATGAGTAAAGATGTAAGTTTATAGATAAATATTTCTATCATTTTTGTTTTTATTAGTTAAATATTTTATTAGCTGAATTCACGAGTCGATCTAAGCTACACCACTACCGAGAACCTGGAAGCACTGGATGGCCGTTTCCTCGTAGTATGGGACTCAGCATTCACGATCCCGCATGCTGGACTTTAACTTGGGACCTTCGGTTTCTCACGTGAACGCTTAACTTCTAGACCATTGAATCGACATCCAACGGTGTTAATATCTAACCTCAATCAATCCATGATCTTGAGCAACCATTCATCTATTGTCTGGGGTAGATAACTGTCCCTAACCAACACGGATTGGTCTCCACTATTCACGGCTTCTCACAAGCACTCCAGGACTAATTAAGACGATTCGTCTGATTGATTGATTTTACCTCTTTTATTAGACCGAAAATTCTGTCAAGAGCTTTTAGTTTAGTTTATTTTATCAATGTGAAGTATTAATTTTTGATATTATCCATCTTGATGGGTTAGCTACATTTTTTGAAGTTCATTCATTTGGTGGCTGTCTTGTGACTACATGTTTTCTAGTAGTTTGATAGATAACTGGTTGATTGTTTATATCTGTTTGCCTTTGATTTCTCACGGGTTTTACCAACTCATGGTTAAATAGTAGTTTTTGGGTTTAAGTTATTTTCTTAGTATTTACTTCTATACAAGTATACATATTAAGGCAAACAGTGCATAATTGAATTAGTTCTATAATGTTTCATTTGTAACTCGAGTTCATCATTCATTTCATCACGTAATGTAAGTTTTAAAACGGTTTATCGATGGAAATTTTTTATGCAACATCATGTTCAACAATTATGACATACTTTTAAGTGTTTAGAGATATCGATTAGTAATACATCCCTAGCAGTGTCCCAAACTTTTGGAATATTAGAAAAACACTGGACAGTTCATTCATCAAGAATTGAAATGGTAATTTAGTTAAATCCTCTTTTTAATAACGAAATGGGACAATGTATCTAAAAAATGATACTTCAGGCTGCCAATATAAAGGACTTTATAAAACCTATCAAACTGGTAAGCACATGTTGATGTGTTCAAAAAGTGGGAGCTCTTCCCCAACGTATTCGTGTATTTAATGCTTAGCTTACAACGAATTTTTGCATACTAAACTTTTATATGTGTAACTTATTGTACTGAACATTGTTCTTTACTTCAGGTTCTAGATTGATATTTTACTTCCAAGTAAAGTTTTATCCACAACACCCTGATCTTGTTTTTGACTGTCCTAAGTCCAGATATCAATTTTGTCTTCAGTTAAGGCATCATTTAAGTATTGGACGGTGAGTTTTGTTTCTGTATATCTATATTATGATGAATTTTGGCGTTTCTATCCCTTTTTAAAATTCTGATCAGTTTTATCCGTAGTTTATATCAAGAAAGAATTTATTTATTTGAACACATAAATATTGGTACCAGAGAGCGCCAATATATATGCGTTACACAAAACAATGAGAATTCGAAGAGAAGGAAACAAAAGGTAAGGAGCGTGAAAAAAAGAGAACCGTAACGAAGAGGTTGGTGTAAGGTAGTGTAGTAATAATGAGGGAACGGAAAGGTACAATCAGAAGAAATCTTTCGTCACCGGCCATGGAGGGCAGGACATTCTGATAGATGTTGCCGGAGCAGCAGGCCAGTTGAACTGCTCTTCGAAAAATTCTGTCCATCGTCCAAGACGTCGATGGATATTAGTGATTGGCATCCCATCATCCTCGCAGATTGTTTCGCTCACACCAGACTTCTTGCTGCCAGTGGCTCGGATGAGTTGGAAGAGCTTCCGGTAATTACCAGATGCAGCTGCTGCTTCCAGCTCATTAGCACGCTTCGACCACCGGGCTTCTCGGTCCTTACGCAAGCTTTGCCCAATTTACTTACGTAACATCCTTCGTTTGTGGTCAAACTCACGGTCACCCGGAGTAGACCGACGGGCTTCAATAAGTTGTAAGGAGCCTGAAGAAACCCAGTGCTTATAAGCGGGACGTTTCGCGAACCCACAACTGACTGTACCCGCCATTTTCATGGCATCATGCAATTGCAACCAATGCTCATCTATACTTTTTGGTGGAATGGTAGCTAGCCTAGAAACTAGCTCGGTTCGATACTTACTAGCAACAGAAGTTGCAACCAGCTTGCTAACATCAATCCGTTGGTGGCTGTCACTTCGTTGTCCACTGAAAAGTAAGGTAAGATTGGCACAGACCAAAGCATAGTCAGAGTCCAGATAGGTACTCCAAAAGGAGCGGCAGTCTTGTACACAATCACGCCAGCGGTAGCTGATTGCGATGTGATCAATCTGAGTCCAGGCTTGAGATGCAGAAGAAGGACGCCAGGTGGCACATCGGCGATGACTGTCCCGAAAGTTAGAGCTAACCAGAAACAGGTTGTGGTCTGTGCACAGTTTCAGTAGACGGTCCCCGTTATCTGACCTGCAACGAACGAGTCCCCATCGGCCACCTAAACGACTCTCTCCTGTGTCTAGACGCCCGACCTGAGCATTCAAGTCTCCGGCTAGTACTACAATATCTGTCGAACGCACTTTCTGGAGAAGAACAGATAACTGGTGGTAAAACTCATCCTTGATTGCATCCGGGCTGCAATCTGTCGGGGCATAGGCGGAGATGACGAAAATACATCGTTTCTCACAGCGATTTCTTCTCACTTTGATGGAACTTTCTAATCTAACAGCACATAACCGACTGTTAATGAGGATCCAATCGATTAGTGCTGCCTCAGCTCTAGCGCTTAGTGCGATACCAATGCCAGAAAGACCAGACGAAGATGCTACAAGATCCCCGGATAAGCGCACGTAAAACAAGCTTTTCGAAGCGACAGATGGAGAGCGAATTTGTAGTACTTCACCAGAGTCTTGAGTACAGGTCTCGGATAGACAGCAGACATCGATATTAAGACTTTCCAAAGACATAGCCAGCCCTATCTGTTGTCCAACCTGCATAAGTGTGCGAACGTTGAAGGCAGCCAGTTTGAATGGTGCACGTGGTTTCAGAAAAACTGCTTCAGTCCTCGTATTCAGTGGTAACATACAATTTTCAACCGGACGGTGACTCGAGAACGTTTAGATAGAGTCGAATTTCCACCAAAGACGAGCCGCTGTATAAGTATAAAAGAGGGTGAATAATGTGGTAAATAAAAATAAAAATAATAATAATAATAATTTGATTGTTTCTCGAAGCGAGAAAAGTAGTTTCCATAAATATAGAGAGTTCATCATTTGCGTGTGGGCTGCGATACTGCCCGGGTGCCCAGACCGAAGCAGGTGGTTATCTTAGGGGGCCACACCCCGATCCTTTGACCTAAAGGTCTAACCCACAAGGCAGTGGAGCATCGTAAGGAGTTGCAGTCCTATGGTAGCCGGTGACCAACGATTGGTTCATACGCCATTTGTTCCCGCAGGATACTGGAGCCCATGTGGACCTTTGGTTTGAGATCCGACTAAAGCGCCGGACATTCGCTTTTCGTCCTCTCATTTTCGTAAACAACAGTAATGCCACGAGAAGTCAATGAGTAGGACATCCCTGTCAGAGGCTGTATACGCGTGGCCGTGTGAGAGTATTTTGAGAGGGAGAGCGGACTCTCCCCACTCCATATTAGCACATGCATCAGCCCAACCTATTACATTTCACATGAGAACAGTTAAAGGAAACTTCTTAGAGGAAAACACAACAGTTGAAATAATGATAGCTATAGTTTTAACAACTTAACATAAATATTATCGTTTACGGATAATGTATTTCATTACAGAAGCAGAAATTGTGAAATGATATTAAAACATGAAATTTGGAGAAATATAAGGAGTACACACATCTTCCCCCATGTAACTGATTTTGACTCATCTCATCCAAGTTTTCCAACTGTAGAGTATGACTTTTTCCCCGATCTCAAACACGGAGTTGGAGTTTTCCGATATGATTGAATCCAATAATGAATAATTCGATCTACCGATGTCATGTTTTTATGTGCCAACCCTTAGCTTTCTTCGAACTCGTATATCATTCAGAGATAAACAGTTACCAGTCATGGTCAAGGTCAACTGAACATCTTACTCGCGCTACATGTGGCTCAGAATAGTAAACGGTCTAGTTGGGTGGTGTCCATGCTGAGGTCGCGTCATATTTTATCTCGTAAAGCTCTAGGTGATTGTTTGATTGTCTTATTATTGTATTTATGACCTTTCACAGTTTTCTAGATTCACTAATTGTAAGTGCTAGTAAACACTTGTAGTTTTAGCTCGGAATATACGATAAAAATGATAGTCATTCCAAATCTCTTACACTTGTCATCCCTCGTGGAGCATAGGCCATCAACCAGGGTTCTCCATCGAACTCTCTCTTGGGCAATTCTTCCCAGTTGTTTCCAAATGCTATTCATTCTTTTGTTGTCTGCTTTCGTCTGGTGTGTGACGAAATCTCAGCACGGATACAGAAGGTTCAACTAGCTATTACCAACTTGCGTCATTTATGGCGTAGGCGAGATATCCGTCTATCAACCAAAGGACATGTTTACTGCGCAGCAGTTCGTTCCGTCCCACTTTATGGCAGTGAAACATGGCCGGTAAGAGTAGAGGATATTCGTACGCCAGTAATATTTGATCATAGGTGTCTTCGAAACATTGCTCGTATATCCTGGGACCATCGAGTAAATAACTCAGTTGTTAGGAAACGGGTACTAGGTAAGGATGGCAAATCAATTGATGAAGTGCTGAAACTTCATCAGTTGAGATGGCTGGGGCACGTGTTACATATGTGTAACCACCGACTGCCCCGAAGTGGGATGTTTTTTGGTGTAGAAGTGGGTTGGAAGAAAGCTAGGGGCGGCCAGACCAAAACATGGCACAAATCCATGAAGTCACTGACAAGTGTACTGAGCCATGTTGGTAGGTTTAAACTACCTGGTTGGGATCCGCGAGACGATAGCAATCGATGGTTAGAGACCTTGAATGACATGGCTCAAAATCGTTTGCAATGTTACAGGTGCATCCACTGTTTGTGTTCTCCCAAATTTTAATCTGAATCCTTCATGTCCCTTTTTTTCTCTTTCCAAATTTATTTCACTGGATTATACTCCTTGAATATAATCTTCAAACCCTAATCTTTCCGATTACTGCTTATACTCTTACTACTTCTACCACCACGGAATTTGAGTCAACAACTGCATCTCTGTGCTAATGTGGTATGGCAACTCGAACTGATGTACGTACGTACGAAGTTCTACGTTGTTGATTGACTGACTGTTTGGTTCCAATTCTCGACGCAATATGTTCATTGGTCTTTCTGTTTTCGTTTTGCCCTGAGGACTCACGGTTGTGACTTGCCTCTTGATGCAGTCTGATGACTTCCGCAATGTGTGTTCTATCCACTTCCAGCGTCCTTTCCTAATTTCCTGTATATTTGGAAGTTGGTTTGTTCTCTGTAAGAGTAGGTTGTTGCTGATGGTGTCTGTCTAACTGATCTAGAGTATCTTGCGTAGACAGGATACCTGTACATTTTGATAGTGGTTGTAGTAGTTGTAGTAATTTTCAGCTCTGTTTAATAGAACTATCTTGATGTTGATGTTGAAAATTGTGACCTACGTGCTGGCTTACAGACAGTTGTTCTGAGTTCCAAATGTTGTTGACTAGTATGAATGCTGCCCTTGTTTTGCCAATCGGTGCCTTCGTATTTGCATCAGATCCCACTTGTTTATCGATGATGCTGATGTTTAGGTCCGTAAAAGTTTTCGCCTCTTCCAGAGCTTCTCCATCAAGTATGATTATTCCTTATCTAAACCGGAAAATAATGAAACAGTTACTTAGTGTTAGTTTTATTATATTTGACACATTTAAAGTCACTGGTCCAGTTTTATTTTCATTGGTAACTTTCTATTTTGTGAATTTTATTGGAATTCATTACTTAGCAATTATCATGTCATGTTTATTTCTGTTTATTTATAGACTCTTATGCTCATTTGAAACTCACGTAATATTGGGAGCACTGATAGCTCAAATGGATCTAGGAAATGCTGTGAAACATCGACGATCTCGAAGTAGTCATTCAAGTTATCAGTTCAATCCATATGTCGAATCGACATCGCCTGATTTTTCACGTCGACAGTCAACTTCTCCAGCTCGAAGTTTTTTATCCGAACGTAGATGTAGTTTAGCTCAACCTGAACATAGTGATGATAGTATTATATGGGATGCACGTGTTGATAATAAGTCCAAAAAAGATAAGCCGTGTTCATCTTCTGTTGGGAATAAAGCCAACACATGCAATCATATTGGTTGTAGTTGTTCTACACAACAGATAGATAATATCAGTATAATGTATTTACAATGTTTACCACACTTAGCTAGAGGATCCGTTACTTCATCATCCATTCAACATAGTACAAACAATATATCAAACGGTAGTAGACCAAGTCTATTGTCATCTACGTTAAACAATATTGAAAATGTATTGTTATCACCAGTAAAGCAAACTTTTAGTCCTGGATGGCCTTATCCAAAGTCTGATTGTCGTTATTGTCCTGTGCTTCTATCACGTATTGCTCGATTACACCGGCATCTTAGGTAATTGAACGTTGCTTACATATATGTAGCTGTATTTCATTTTTTAATACTATTCTAATTAAGATCAAGATGATTTGTTGACAAAGTTATATTTTTATCAGATAGAAGCTTTACCACTAGGAATATTACTAATCAAGAAATTGAATGAACAGTTATACTAATAACGTTTTATAACTTTTTACATTGATCTATTTTTACAGTGTTTTATCATTTTTGACCTAAATAGATAAGAATTAACAATGTGTCACTTCTATGAAGTGACTTTAGATGAACAGTGCTGAAGTACAACAGCTTAGGAAATGCCACAATAATAAAAAAATCAGATAAATGCATTTAGAAATATTATAGTAGTCAGATCTCGAGGTCATTTATGTTGTCTTCAGTGGTTTGAACATTATATTACAAATGGTCAAATCCTAATTTTAAAATCATTCTATCTTCATTTCAAAAAATGTTATAGTTTGTACTATCTAAAGCGCCGGACATTCGCTTTTCGTCCTCTCAATTTCGCAAACAACACGAGAAGGTTGTGAGTAGGACTTCCCTGAAAGTGGTTGTATGCACGTGACCATGTGAGAGCATTTCTAGAGGGAGAGCTGACTCTCTCCACTCTCGGCCGTACCACGGTATTTGGGAGCATTTCGCACAATCTGGTCACACATATATTTCTCAAGGTATTTTATATGAGAATTAATAAAGATCAATTAAATGAAGGTTCAAGTAACTATAATATTAGTCGTAATATATTTTTTGCACCAGTCTACATAAGTGACGCTTATCAAGATTGTTATTTTCATAATTTGCTTTATTTTGAACTGGTGATTTCAAGCTAATCATCAAATAGGATTATACAATAGAATATTAGTGCTGAATTTAAGTAATTAATACAAGTTCATATGATACAAGTCTTTAGTTACAAATTAATAACGAATAAATTTTCTCTTTTAATGCAATTATTTTATTCTCTAGCTAAATTGATTAAATCATTCATTTACTTTCATATTATGAACATTATTTTACATAAATTCACTTGATATTGTTTGCTTGAATCTTCCCATTGAGGTTTAAGACTGCAATTGATCACTTCATTACTGGCATATGTGCATACTGTGCGTATTGCCTCGATATTGCCTTAATTCACAAGCTTTATGAGCAAAGATGGATAGAGGCTAGCTATGGGATCCGGGACGCGCGTTTCGTCCTACTTGGGACTCATCAGTCGGATATACCTGCATCTCAGAGTTAATGTTCACTCTGGGACTCGAACTCAGTGCCATTCACTTCAAACGCCATCGCATTATCTAGCTGGCAAGTCCCAAATGGGACGAAACGCGTGTCCTGTATTTCACTGATAGCCACTATCCATCTTTGATTATTTTGCATAGTTTATTGAGTAGTACTTTTTTATAATGTGATCTTTACTTTAAAACATTTATGTTTTCATAGTATTTTAAAGTTTAAGATGTGTTTCAACCATGGCATAAGATTCACTCTGACAAAATCCAGATTGTCATAATATTTTATTTATCATTCATATTGAATTCCTAATTTCATTGTTTTATCACTGATTTAATCTGTATTCTAACTCTTATGGTCTAGTCAGCAAGATAAGTTATTTTGTCGTCAAATGATCTACACGTTTTGTCTATTCTGACTTGAATTACATTGTTTTCTCCCATTAAATAGTGCTTTATTCAGTTTCATAGTCTGAAAAGTCTTTGATGAATATAATTTTTATTCTTTTGATGTAATGTCAATTTCAGTCTACACGAATAGAGAATTTAACAAGTTTTCAGATACTTCACAATGAGCCACTGTTCAACAAAAGCTCGATTGGTGAATTATTGTCTAGGCTTTCACACTTATCGATATTGAGAATTATGTATAAGTAACTTGGTTAAGCAGAAGTGTGCAGGAGAAGTTGAATGGTTAATTCCATCGACCTCCAATGATCATAGTTCAGGGTTATTTATTAAAGTGACTGAGATTTAAGCCGGGAATCGAGAGTAGAACTTTATTCTGTTCAACTGGTCTTGATTCCAGTTTATCACAAAGGAAAGAAATCCTCTTTTTCTGATAATAGGGGCATCTTTTCAGTGTCTGAATGGAGTTCGGAAACAATAAACACAGAGAAGACCAAGAAGGTTACACACTTGGCCGTAGATGTAAAATCTTCACACTTCGATTAGTTTCAAAACACTACTATACTTATCAATCCCTGTCCGTAGATTTATTCCGTGACCAGAAGGCGTTATTCACTCACATAGGTTAAGAGGTCTTATGATGTTGTTTATTATTAGAAAGTTTTCGAAGAAAACCATTGACCAACTGAAGGCTTCTTACTTGAATGTACTCCGTCCAGTTTGAGTTTACTGCTATCATTAAAATCAGTTCTGTTAAGTAGTTCTGTTCGCATAAGTTAGTTGTATCGGCAGATTCTGCTAAACATGGAAATCAGTAGTGATCTTGTTTTAGTTTTTCATTCCATTCTTCATAAGAGTGAGACTTACAGAAGGCTTTCTTGACTGTATTTATTCCTGAAGTGTTTCTCGTACCAAATAATTTTCTTTTTTGTTTGATTTTGCATTGTACTACCAATCCTCCTTGGTTTTTTTCATAATATTAAAACTCCATTTATGTTGTGCATTTCTTGGTACCTTTTTGTGGTAGGATTCACGTATTTAAGACAATAAGTAGATAAACATACATCTCATTATTTATATCCTGGTGCACTTCTACCATTTTATCATTTGTTTGTTTCGTTCTTATTATCTAAATTACCTTCATATGGCGGTGATTAAAGAGTTTTATTGTCATTTTTATTTATTTATTTATTTCAACACATAAATATCGGTACAAGAGGGCACCAAATATATATGCGCCACACCATATTTGTGTGTGTGTGGGCTGTGATACTGCCCGGGTGCCCAAACCGAAGCAGGGTTTTATTGTCAACCACTAAGTTACAAGTAAAAATCATTTCCCACTTCATTTTTTAGCGACCGGGTGGTATCATAAGCTCTTACGTTTAAAGTGTGACTTTAAGCCAGGTGCATGAATGTTTACCTGATAAACAAGTTAATAATAATGATAACTCACCTTCGTATGTTGATTCTTTCATCCTGTAACTTATTCGATGGTTCCTCGTCATTATCCGTCGATTGAAAAATAATCCTCAACATTTCGTTCACGCATTAATTAGATTATTGCTGGTTTTTCCGAAATAAATCTTTGGCCTAAGCTAGGTAGTATTACTTTTTCTTGATCCTCATACGACACTTACTAGCGATAGTTGTAGATATAGAAAGGCGTCGTTCCTACGTCTTATTTTTGCGGAAATAAAGTTAAAAATCCGGAAGAACCAAACAGTGCATGAGTAAGGACGGTAGTAAGTCATTCTTATTGCCTAATCTTCAAAATAGTACAGGGAAAAGGTAGTCGACTTGAGGGATGGTTATGCACAAGGTAGAATAAGGAAAAATATAGCCTAAAGCCAACATGGTTATAATAGCAAGGGTTTTGGAATTTTATGAGAAAACATCATGAATGATACTGGGATACATTTCTATTAACCTTTAACTGCAGTCTTTAATTACGAATTTTCACTAATCTTGCTTACGACGTTATATTGGGACTTACATTGTGTTATTAAATTCAGACTTACAGTTAACTTAGCGGCAAACAGTGTTTGTGCTCACAACGGATGAGATATAATATAATTACGGTTTTTATATTTACATATTAGTTTGTGATTTACATCAAATTATTGGGAATAGCCCAGTTGTCATTCCGGTAAGTTTCAGATCATGGTGTTTGTTATGCTGATGTTAGGTATTTGGAGGTAGTGCGTGGAAACGGTAGAACTAAATTTTATGCTAGTTGGCACAAGGAGTACCTGCAATCGTGAGGGGTTTCATCCCCCTATAGGTTTCAAACTCCTGTCAACCAGTTTCAGGATTTGAAACGTTATTACTGAGCTGTTGAAGCTGTGATTGACATTAAGCTCTATCAATTAAGTCACATTCTGGCCACCAGTCTGGGTGATTTGATTCGATTAGCACAGAGGTCTAGGTAAGTATCATGTTGACCCATTAATCACTGATCACTCACTGAAAGTTATTTTCTTATGAAAAACAGTTTGTCATATGTAGTATTCTATTGCGATGAAGATTTTCTTCGGTGCATATTTTCACCATGTCAATTATATTCAATGAGTTTTTCTTTTCATTTCCTCGATGCTAACAGTTTCATCATTGAGATCCTTCTATGAGCTTTCCGTTACGATCATTAATAACCTATTTTTAATGTTTTCAGGGGTATGTCTCAAAAAGATGCAGAAATATCATTTTTAAAGAACGTAAAGAAATTGTCATTTTATGGTGTAGAATTACATCCAATAAAGGTAATCTTTTTATTTCACTTCTACGTAACATTCATCTAGAGGAAGTTTATCATGTTGGATTTGTTTTTTGTTATTCATGAGTTATTTTTAACCTAGAATATTTAGTAGCATAAGATATTTAGTCCACTTTAAATTCAGTTTATTAATAATTTGTGGTGGTCGGTATCCGATATAATCCTTAACTTCGTATACAATTCGTCTTGCTAACCGTTCTGCATAACGCCCCAACGGTATAATAATCAGAAGGCAAATACGAAGTGTTGATTACGTTTATTGCGAGACCACACACATATATCCAAATGTACAGATGCGTTAAACAAGCATAGAAGAGTTGTGCCGAAAGGCCAGCAAGCGAGCGAGAGCAAGAGCGTGACGAGAGCGTGTGAGTGAGTGAGTGTTGAATATGAATAACATGGACATATATATATATATATATATATATATATATATATATATATATATATATATATATATATATATATACCATGTGAAATGAATGAGTAATCGAATCGAATAAGCGGTTAGTAGTAAGACTAGCAGAGTGAATAAATGCGTAGGCAGTAATCAATATTCAAGCATACGTATTTCATACAAGCACAAAATAATAAGGGTACAATAAATTGTTATAGTGCGGATGACTTTGTCCGCTAAATAAGTTAGCAAAAGGGCTTAACTGAGTTAAATGAGAATAAACCCATTTGCACGTGAGTCGCTATAAATTCATTGAGTAGTAGCGTCACTATCGATTACTACTCACTGGACCATTTGGACGCTTGGATTAATACTGCTGTTATGATCGAACTATGTAACATTAAGTTAAACTCACTAGGTAATGGTCAAATGATTCATGCTATTAGCAAGAAAAGCAGTTTTCTTTACAGTTTTCTAGTGGATATATGTAGACACATATTCATTAAATCTTAATTATTGCCATGGTACGGCCGAAGGTGGGGAGAGTCCGCTCTCCCTCTAGAAATGCTCTCACATGGTCACGTGCATACAACCACTTTCAGGGAAGTCCTACTCACAACCTTCTCGTGTTGTTTGCGAAATTGAGAGGACGAAAAGCGAATGCCCGGCGCTTTAACCGGGTTGGTGAACACAGAGGATCCACCTAGAGAAGTTGGAAAACCCTGATTCCAAACCAATGGTGCACATGGGCTCCAGACTCAAGTGATTTGTGTTGCGCATATGCATCCGGTGCCCCTTTCATACAAATATTTATGTGTTTAAATAAACAATATATAAATATAAATATATATAAATAATATATTGACTAGTTATCTTAATTTAAATGGCAGTTTAATAATGTAAAGTATAATTTCAAAAACGGTAAATGTTTTTCAATGTAGTAAAAATTCCCATTTTGCCATTTGGTAAATAAAGAAGGAAAGAATTGAGCGAAGAAATTTCTTTTCAATTAGTTTTTCATCATGGCTCTACACTAATATATATACGTTTTAAAATAATAATATAATACTCACGGAGTGGATATGTTACGTAATAATTACATAATGACATTTAAATTAACATTGATTGTTTGGAAGAAAGAGGATTATTAATATTCAAAGTGATCAAGAAGTTGCTACGTTGAATGATATTCGAAACCTACTTAGTATGAATGGGTATCCCATGAAATTCATTGACAAACATATGATGGAGAAGAAAACAAGGACAAAGATACCCACCGTCCATAAGAAGATACTATTCATAAAACTACCATTCATAAATGACACCATTGAAGAAATCTTGACTCAGAAACTAAGAAGAGCCGTACAAAAAACATTTAATGCTGCCAGATTAAATGCCATCTTCTACAACTATCCCAAAATAAGAACAACCAACAAAGATAGACTGTCAGAATTCGCCAAATCTATGTGTATCTATCGTTTCAACTACTCCTGCGGAGCCAGTTACATAGGGCGTACAATTCGGCAGGTCCGTCACCGCATCACAGAACATCATCCGACATGGCTAAGCAAAGGACAGGTGAAATCGATTGAAAGTTCTATTCTCTATCACTTGGTTGACACAGGTCATCAAGTCGAATTGAATAAAGCTTTTAAGGTTATCTACAATATCCCATCAAACTTGCCACATGGTTTACGAGTGCGCTTCTTGCACATTGCGGAAGCCATCGCAATCCATGTTCATAAACCTTTTCATTCAAAAGAGATTCGTACAACCACTTTCTCTACCCTGGCCATCAGTTTAAGATTTCCTTCAAAAGAACTCTTTTTCATACTTTTTCCACTTGTTTTTTTGTTTTATTTTGTTGTTAACTTTTGTAATTTTGTTTCTGTTGCTTTTGATCTTAATAAATTTTCAACATTCATCTCTTGATTCTTACGTAACTACCATCCTATTGGCCATCCGTTAAAATTCTGTACCTTCTTTGTTTCTTACATTACGCAACGTAGCAACTTCTTGATCACTTTGAATATAAATAATCCTCTTTCTTCCAATTACCTAATGTTAATTTAAATGTCATTATGTAATTATTACGTAACAAATGCACTCCATGAGTATTATATTATTATTTTAAAACGTATATATATTGGTGTAGAGCCATGTACTCACCCTGGATGGTGAGCAGATAGACGTAGTCGAGAAGTTCGTGTATCTGGGTAGCTGCATAAGTGCTGGTGGGGGTGTGAGTGATGAGATCAATGCACGTATATTGAAAGCCAGAGCGGCTTATGCCAATCTGGGTCACCTTTGGCGCCTTTGTGATGTTAGTCTGGTTGTAAAAGGTCGGATCTACAACGCGTCGGTGAGAGCAGTTTTGCTCTATGCTTGTGAAACCTGGCCTCTCCGAGTTGAGGACGTTAGACGACTCTCTGTGTTTGATCATCGCTGTCTCCGAAGGATTGCTGACATTCAGTGGCAACACCATGTCAGTAATGCAGAGGTTCGGCATCGTGTGTTCGGGCACAGAGATGATAATTCAATTGGTGTCACCATCTTGAAACACCGACTTCGGTGGCTTGGACATGTTCTACGAATGTCGTCCCAGAGAATTCCACGTTGTGCATTGTTTGCCGAATCTGTAACTGGTTGGAAGAAGCGGAGAGGTGGTCAGTACATGACATGGTGTCGTTGTATGAAAGAAAGCTGCAAAGGACTGGCTTCTGTCGGTCCTTCACGACTCCCTGGTTGGGGTCTGAGAGACGGTGCTACACAGTAGCTAGAGACGTTATCAGATATGGCTCAGAATAGAAGCCAGTGGCGATCCTGCTGTAACCTTCTTTTACTTTCATCATGAAACATGGTTGTGTCTCCCTTACCTGAAAGATTTCTTCTGATTGTACCTTTCCGTTCCCTCGTTACTACCACACTACTTTACACCAATCTCTTCGTTATCGTTCTCTTTTTCTTTTGTGCTCCTTAGTTTTTTTCTATCTCTCTTCGAATTTTCATTGTTTTGTGTGGCGCATATATATTGGCGCTCTCTTGTACCAATATTTATGTGTTCAAATAAATAAATAAATAATAATAAATAAAGAGCCATGATGAAAAACTAATTGAAAACAAATTTCTTCGCTCAATTCGTTCCTTCTTTATTTACCAAATGTTTTTCAAGTGAATGTTTGTACATTTTACCTATATGGTATCTTATATCCGGATTTTTAAGGGTTTTTTTAAGATACTTATGATTTTACGTGGTTGCGTTGCTTGACCTTGATGCTGTAAATCCATTTTTCGCTGATATACTGATGGACAATAAGGATTTAAAATGTGGACCACTTCTTCATCTAATTGAACTTTGCCCACAACAACTGTTAATGTTAAGAGTTTATACTCGCCTGTTTGTTGATATTTTAATTTTGAGTCTCATTCAAGACGTCAGTTTTGAAATGTTAGCTCATCTAGCCGATCGAATCAAACACTTGCTGGTGTCCATTTGTAACCACTGTTCAAAATGTAACGAACTTCTGGAGGACTCAAGCAATATAGAAGTATTCATTCAAGATGTCTATATACCGACAGAGGCTGATCAGATTCAGTCTTGTTCATCCATAACAGGAAAATGTGAATCTTTACAAATACTATCTTGGTTGTGAATATTTATCTGGAAATTGTTCAAAAACAGCAACAGTATTGCCATGTATAAACAATACATCAGATAATACAAGTAGCGTATTTAAGGAACAAGATAAATACAAAATATAAGCCAGCACAATTAATTTTAGTAATTTTTTGTTGACTATGTAAACGTATGTACACAAAGCAGCTTACTGATCATTTAGCCTACTCGCAATGAACTATGTGGGTAAGTGTTTCACTTTCGAATCTTGTAGATAGGACCAAACAGTAAATCAACTATAGTCACGTTTAGTCACAAAGATCGTAATTAGTATTATGAACGATCTCTTTTATGTTAGATTCTGTGGAGCAGTTGGTAATGTCTAGAACTATGACTGTAATCTGAGTACTACTATACCTTCGTCCACCAGGTCCTGAGTTCACATCTATTTCTCATCTTGGTTTGTCTCATTTAATTAGTTGATAAAATGTTCGGATTATAGGTTTTGTTTTCATCATTACTTGTAAGTATAATACATAGTCAAACTTGAGAAAACTTATACTCTGGCTAGAGTCTATAAGTCATTTTGTAGACGTTAAATAATATATTTTTCTAAATTTTAGGGTAATTCAAGAAATATATATATATATATATATATATATATATATATATATATATATACTTGCTTTATTATGTTCATTTTGATTGTAGAAGTTTCACGCTAGTTATGTTTCATCTGGATCTTTTAAAAATATAACAAAGAAATTGGCCAATTCATTTTCTACTCGTTCTCAAACTAGTTCAGTCGAATCTTATCATAATTTTATTGATACTTCAAGTACTGGTTCTAATCAATTACTTAACTTGAACAGTACACACAATTCATTATCTATATCTGGTTTGAAATCATCCCTACGGCGAATGTTCAGCGTTAAATCTCAAGGTCAGTTGGTGCTTTGATATTTTGAATACTTTTCCTTTGTAATATCCCAATGAGTATAAAATTAGATTTTCTACTCATTGGGATATTACAAATATATTATTTTTACTTATAACAATCAACCCAATGCTCAATTTATTCGAAATTATCAAATCAAACCTTGGTAATGATACCGACTTTTCCTTTCGTTTATATATGGTTTTGGTGTTTGATTATTCTCGAACCTATCAATCACCGGATCATAGGTCCGGACCCCATTTCATCTACTTTATTTTGAACAACTGGTTAATATCACTAGCCCTCAAACCTGAACTGTGGTTCAAAGCCGAATATGTGAATCCATCTTTAGGAAATAATTAACATTATGTAACTGCTATTTTTTTGTCTGATAAGATTATTTAGTTTCAATGAAATTCCTCAGATTTCAGACAGCAGATTTGTAAATTGAATTGGTATGAATGATGATAATTAGACCTGATAATCTCTACTATTTTAAGTAACCTTTAGTTACATTTGCTTTTGTCAGTATTTTGCATTTAAACATATCACTTCAATACAAAGAAAAATCTATTCTCCTGACCACTTATAGTGTCTGTTGATTTGATGTCATTTGGGCTCCACGTTAATAGAGTTTGTTAGCGTTTACTTTACATTGAGTCATGTTGTCGATTCACATCTAAGACATTTCTCAATTCTGTCATATTAAAGGGACATTCTCTACAGGGGAATTTATTAAGTCCTTTTACATGTCCTGGTGTGTGTGACATGTAATAAATCATTGTCACTGTTTTATCAGGACTAATCAATAGCCACAGTTAATTTTGATATGCAAGTTTTAGTGACCGAATATTCACTTATTATCAGAGATTTCGAGTATTATTCTATAAGAAAGCTTGTGGTAAAGTTCAGAGAACAATTGACACTTGTCAATCTATAATTTGTCCTTTATATCATATTGTTTAAAGGCTTAGAAATACTTTGTAACCAACATTGTACTTGTTATTTGTGGAGTGGAGGACTCAAAGGTGATCGAGTTAGTAAATGGATACATAGAAATGACATAGTTAGTAGATTGGGATTTTAATTTAATCTCAGTCACTAAAAGTTGAGTGTTATGATAACTCCTCCACTGGTTCAGTATGTAAATCATATAATGAGTATAAACTGTATTGCTACTCTGAAAAAAAGCACAGTCTTCTGACCGCCTTAGGCAACAATGTTAAGATGTTTGGAATGCGTATCTCTCCCCCTAGATGCAAAATATTGCATCAGGGCTGGCTCATGTCAACGCCTAAATTAATGATGTGGAGTGAGGTTTTTGAGTGTGTTGATCACTTCACTTATCTTGATGAGTGTCACTAGCTCTAATGGGTTGCAGTATGACGAAATCTAGGTACAGATTCATGAATCTCGGTTGGATTTCGCCAATTCGTCACTTGTGGCATAAGTGAGCCAATTGAAGGATGGGTATTGCTACACAGCGGTTCGCTCCGTTCAACTCCATGGCTGCAAAATGTGGACTTTAAAAATATAGGGCATTTGTAAGTTACCGGTATTTAAACATAGGTGTCTTCGAAGCATTTCTCACATATTTTGGGCCAATTGAGTTAGCAATTCTGAGGTTAGATGCAGATTACTAAGTAAGACTGCCAAATTGATTGACTAGGTAGTTAATATTTATGAACTGAGTTGCTATACTCGGCACGCAATGATGACCAGTGTGGGAGTAGGTTGAAAGAAAGCTTAGGAGAACCAAAACAGAACTTGGGATCGGTCCATAAATATATTGACTATTATTAGGTACATATTACCTGGTTGGGGTTCGCGTGATTATCATAACCAATTTTTAGAGACTTGCAATGACATGACTCAAAATGTCTCAAATGCATTCGTTGATTATTTTCCCTTAGATCCTAATTTTCTAAATTCCTTGTAATTTTCATCTATTTTCATTTCAATAAGTTATATTTTCTTCTCGAATCACATATAGAATTTTTTCAATTACCATTAATACTGTTACTATTCTTACTACTCTGGGGCTTATCTTGACAGTTTCATCCCCTTGTCATAATGGGGTATGACAACCTGAACCGATGTACATATGTGCCATGTTCAACGTTGCGTTTGACTGACTAACTGGATTATTCCCATATCAATACTTTTTTTCTGTTCTTCTATTCTAAGAATTCTCTTTTCAGCGCTGTTCTTGTCCACAATAAATGAGTTTTGTTCATTAATAAACTTAAATATTTGATTATTTAAACAAACTATATAAGGTATTTATTTAAAAAGTTCTCATTTTTGTTTTATATTTTGGACCAATTTTAGATCAACCATTATTTCCTTTTGCATTTAATGATTTTCCGAATTTTGATTTTTCTTTGGGAGTATATTTTGCTGGTTTATTTCTTCAATGGGGTCATATACGTTTATCACATTATACATGGTCTCGGATTGTGAAAATATGCTTCTATTTAGATGAATTTTGTTTAGTTGTGAAAAGTAATGTGAGTTCATTTTACAATTTTTACTTTGTTACAAATCAATGCGTTTTCAATTAATTATTAAGGTGTAAGATAACTATACAGTCTAATACCTTTTTTTTTACCAATTGTTTCCTAATTAACAACATTATTTATTTTTATAGCTTACAACTTCCTCTTTGTACGGTTTCTTAGGGGTAAAATATATAGTTATAAGGTATTTACAAATCATTTTATTCAAAATTTTGAATTACTGTTAAATTCTGACTGAGCTCGATTAGTGATGTCAATACAGAACGAATCCTAATTATTGTCAGTGATATTCGATTAACGGTATTGTAAGATCATCAATCCAACTAAATCGTTTGTAATAATATTCTGTCGAATTGATTAGAGGCTATAAATATATACACATATATAAATATACATCCTTTAATATCTATTGTATTCGCAGCTGTAAATGGTTCTAGTTACCTTTGTTTTTTTTTATTTCAGCAGATTAAATCTTCATCAAGTCCTCGTATTTTACTGAAGTGTAAATTTGCCTTCCAAAAACTAGCTAGACGTTTCTATAGAGCATGTGTTGAACATCATATGTTTTTTAAGTAAGTCGAGAATTTTTCGTACTCAAAGATACTGTAGTAATGTAATCTTTTGGTAGGAATGTTTATGAATTTTAATCATTCTACATAGTAAACGTTAAAAACTTATTTTCGGAATTGCTTATCATTTAAATGAAGTGTCTCTTTTAAATGATTCAACTGGTTTTTATTATGTATTGTCTGTTTAGAAAAGCATTCGATATTATTGTATATCGATTAAATTTTACATACTTCAGGTAAATACAACAACGAAATCAATTCAATAGTTATGGTGGTATTTTTAAAGAGCTAGACGAAATCAGTATACTATATGAATAAATTAGATGAATAGAATGAATAAATGTATCATCTTTATTAAAAATAGTCACGGGTTATATAGCAACAAACATTCAACAATTTTCTCTGTCTAATTAACTGGAACCAAGTAGCTTATAGTTCCTAACTTATCTTTGTATAATAGACAAACTTGAGTGTTTAATTGAATTTTATTGCAAAATCATCAATCCCCCCTTTCCCTCAGTATAAATAACGTGTTTGAATAATTTTTGATTCCCCCTTGTGTAACACAAGATTGTGTTGTTTTAGTTGATATGTTTTCCCGATTTCATTGCTTCAGTTATGCCTTTACACTTAACTTTGAAATCACTCACATAGTTATTTGTTTACGCACAAAGTATGCTTCAGATCAACTAACATTCCATACAACATACCATCTACATTTACTGTTGTCAATTATAATACAGGAATCGATTGTTTTCGGCCATTTGGTGCTCTTCGAGTAGGTTTTTTGGTATGATGCCCTAAAAGAGAGATATCATTACAACTTCGTAAACTAAACAATTAGTTGTTTTGTATTTGATTTCAATAGTGTTTGTAGATATGAATCACTTTACGGAGTAATGGATCCATTAAAGTTATACTGTAAAGTTATACTTACTACTAGTCACTGACTATTTCTATAATGATATTCTTAAATTTATGTGAGTGAATCATTGACCGATACTTGTACCTTGGTATAATATTATTTGGTATCATGGCTATATTCAGATTGACACTGTTCATTCATGTACACTATTTCTTTCTTTTCACGCTACTTAATTATTGTTATTTTCGAATAACACTGAATAATTGGAATAAATGTTTTTTATGTGTGTGCATGTATTAATGTCCCCGTTTTTTTGTAGGATCCACTGCAAACGCTTATTAAATTCAAACATTATTAAACGAGAATCTTATAAACCTGAACCTATTATTTTACCTGTAAATCATACATTACATGTAAATAGTGAATTATTGAATCCTTCAGTGTCTATAAATGACCCTTGCAGTATTAAATTATTGTCTATGACTAATTTACAATCACCGAAACTACCAGTCACACCTACACGATCAGAATTTGAACTAGGTATGTTATATTAGCACGTGAAATTGTCTAATGATGTCAGTTTTTTACTAGGTTTTTTGCTAGTTATCTTTAAGTGTTTTTAGTTAATGGGAATGTAGATTATTTTTGGGATAATTCCTATGCTTCATATATCACTCTTCCTGTTGACTGTTATTAAATAACTCTTAATGGTACATAAATTTCAAAAGACAATATAAAGTGTTGACTACAATTTTTTGTTTTACAGCTGAGATTACAAAGCTACAAACACACGAAGCGAATACGAATAAAAGTGGAGACGCGAATGAATACGAGCGAACGAATAAATAGGATTTAAGTTAAATATATCGCTTCACTTATCCTGAGGGTCTCATCAGTACTGATGAGCTGGTGTCTGACGAAATCTTAGCGCATACTCAAAAAGCCTAATTGGTTTTTGCTAACTTGCAGCACTTGTGGAGTGGGAGAGATATCTGTCTACCAAATAACTAAAGGACGAGTTTACTGTGCGGCAGTTCTCTCCATTCCACTTTATGACGGTGAAAAGTGGCCTTTAGAAATAGAGGATATTTTTAATTTTCTCGTATTCAATCGTAAGTGTCTTGGAACCGTTAATTGTGTATTTTGACACCACTGTGTAAGCAATGCCTGGGTTAGAAATTAAGCACCAGGCAAAGATGAGAATTTGACGGACGATGTAGTACGTCTCCATCAACTGAGGTGGTTGGGACATGTGTTACGTATGTCCAACCACTGCTGACCAATCGTTAGAGACTTTGAATGACATGACTCAAAAGCGTTTGCAATGGTGCAGATTCACCCGTTCCTTGTCTTCCCCCAAATTCTGAAATTTTGCATTCCTTTTTACTGAAATAAACTCTCAGTTTCATGTGCAGATAAAATTTGGCTTCATATGGAATCATAATTACTCGACGTTTTCTTTATTTCAGTAGATGCTATCATATTCATCTAGTGAAAATATCAGACTTGTAGTTTGAGCTTATCAGTTATAAAATCTGGCTCTGTTAATCATTCAGTCAACTGTTGAAACCACAATTCAGATTTTTGTTTTATTGTATCTCATAACTTAGTGCATGAACATTACTGTGTTGTTGCTTATTTTAGATATCTATATGATTTGATAAATTGTTCGCAAATTTATTCTTTTAATTTGATTTACTTTGTAGATCATTTACATTCGTCAAACACACAATTAAATAATTGTGAAATTCCTGAATATTCTACAGAACGTGTACATACTCCTCAGACAGATTCGAAATTTCGAACGGATATGGATTCGCCTAAGGTATAGACCTTATGTTTGTATAAGTCTATTATCATGAATGGGTAAAATGGACTGCTATTTTTTCAGTACTGTACAGATAGAAAAACAAGATAGTTATGAGCAGTAGTTTATTGGAAAAAATGTCCTCCATGTTGCTGATTGGAATAGTACAGAGTATTCAATTTATCTTTCTGTATCGTTTTGACGCATGAAATTGCACCTACAGATTATAAGCTATTACATGACCATATTTGTCTTTGATGAAGTGCACCATTTTTATTAAGGAAATAACTTTATCACAAGTGATAGAATGTTATATTAAAAATATTTGACCCTAGTTCCACAGTAACTTTTGATCCATAAATCGAATATTTGTACAAAAATGAAAAGATTACCAAGTGATTTTTTGGGATATAGCACCCCTAACATTCTTTGTTAAAGTATAGTAAACTGAACAAGTGTAATTTAGACTTTTTTGTCTGAATGCTTATTATTCTACAGTATTTGGGCAAATTAATTTTATTTTTACCTTTTTTTTGAATTATTTTAAAATAGAAGACCTACTCGAATGACCATTTACTTCTACCATGTACTTCTAATGAACTGTCGACACGAAGTGCTTCATTTACTCATTTAGATAATTATTCAGTTGCTCATATTCCCAGTCCAATTGAATGTTCTAGTCGTTTAGATATTTTAAATTCTTCTGTAAATGATGATAATATTGATGATAGATGTAGATCTGCAAATATTCCATCATATGATTGTTTACAAATTTCAGACGATCAAAATTCAAATCCTTTCGATTGTTTGTGTCGTATTACATCAACTCAAACTGATATACATTCATCATTTAATATAAATGATAAGTAAGCTCGTAATATAAATTTTTATTTGCATTTAATACTGCAATATTAATTATCAATCATGATTAGTTTTTCGTATATTTGGAAAGGAATATTATTTTATCGTTAGCAGAAACGATTCTTTATCTCAAGTTGATCGGTGACCAAGTACATCATCACATTTACTTGGTCTTGTGTCAGCTTCTCATTTAAAAGAGGTAATTATCATGGTAAAATGGATTAAGATGTAACAGGTACATGAAAATTCTTCTATATAAGAATATTAGCAGATATATCAGAAATTCCAAAATGATTGTTAATTAGATAAGCTATTGAATATTAGTAAGTAATATTATTAATACACAAAAGATAGCAGTTGAGAAATAAATGAATATGTAATTATGCGGCAGATTTGATAATATTCTCTTTAAAAGTTTATCAAAAATCGCTTGATTTATTCTTTACTACTTTTATACCGTTTGTTATGTGAATCCTTATTTTCATTTCTAGTTACTCAGATGACACATTTTATTTTACCGTTTATGTTGGTAGTGAAACTATCAAATGTTTCTGTTATGAAAGAAAAATAACGGTGCTTGGATCGATTACTTTCTATTATCTTCTAAAGCCTATTCAGAGGTTTATAATTTACTAGCAGATGATATCTCGATTCCATTCTTATTCTTTCTATGAGGTCGTTTGTTAATTTATCTCAAGCGTTTCTATCATCAACAACCCATAGTTTACGTATTAGCTTTTGAAAAAAACTATGAAATACCGAAGATAGTAATGTTTCGTGACAATGCTCATCAAACTTAATAAAACTCAGTTCAGTCAACTTCATACTAATAAATGTTATCTGGGAATTTATAGGTGAAGAAGTAGAGCTAAAAAAACTCAGAGAACATCAGTTAGCATTAGAAAAACTAATTTAGGGAGACAAACTATCGGCTGAGAAATATTATTCATTGAAACTGATCACGAATTTAACTTGGACCGTTCGACGAACGTAAAAGTAATGATTTGAAGAGTCCTTAGCTAACAGGAGTTCTAGAAAAACGTCATGAGAAGAGTGAAACTTATTGTCATTAAGGGAATTCAGCGAAGAAAATCTTGTTTTTAAAAAAAACAATGAAATCATTTACTTAAGTTGTACATTCGTATTTGTAGTTTTAAAAACTTATGCACTGCTTAGGCATTGGCAATCCACAAATTCAAGCCTGAACTCTGTGTATAAAAACGATACGTCCAACCTCTCATCCTTCCTTGGCCTTAATTCCTTTTTTGTGGTATGATTTGTTCTTCTTCTTATTACTATTATTTGATTCGTGTTTTGTTAATTGTAAACCGTAATCACTTATTATCTTTTAACAATTTTTCATGATTATCACCCAGTTATTATGATCTTTATGTTTTTCGTTTTTCTTCATATTTGTCAAGTAGACAATTATCTTTCATAATTCTCACCCGTAAATTATTTTCATCCTTATATTCTTCTAATAACTTTTGATTATTGCGTAACCTCGTTTGATAATAAAAGTCTCGAATCAATTTGTGATGCGATCTTTTCTGTTCTTCTATAGAAATATATTTATCATACAACTATAAGTACGAATGTAAATAATTTCATCGGAAAGAAAATGTACATCGCTGAATTGTCTTTATTTTATCAAATGACACAAAGGGTTATTTTAATTATTATCATTACTTCATTCAACGGTTTAAATGTTTGTAACTTGATGAAAAAACGAGTGGCTGTTTGATTATAACCCCCTATATGAGTTTCATATATAATGCGCGACAATGTATCCTGTCGAATTTCCGAACATCTAAAACGTATTCTTTGCCATTTTGATTTGATCAGTTATCAGTTATTTGATCAATTATCTGTATTCACTTTCCTGAAATTCTTTTGTGTAAATCACCGGATCTAGAAAGTACACAGTATATTCAAGCAATATAACCTCCTGTTTTTTGTTACATTCGATACAATACCATAACACGTCAAGTTTTTTAAATTCTATAGCCAGATTTATTGGCGGTTTCCTCGAAAAATAGTTTTTAACAGAATCCATGGTATATGCTTTGCTTACATTAAGCGTTTTCGTAATTTGACCCGCTTTCTAAATGCCTTGTAATTAGGTTTTACTATTTTTAAATTTAAGCGTACTTTAAATGCACTGCATATCCTCGTGATACATATGATAATATGCTCTGTCTATATTTTTTAGCCCCATTATTGATTCAGTGCCCACATATTCCGAAAATCCAAGCTTTAAACCATCTGTTGATGATACCTGTCAATCTCTTCTTGCTTGTGAAATTCCTAATCTATTACCCACTTTTATTCCTATAAATTGTGCCTTGACAAATCCAATGGAAGAATATTTACCCACTGATATACTTCATTGTTTATCACCTTCGCAGCATATTTCGAGTGATTTTTCACAGGTCAGCATTTTTTTATTTGATTTTGTAAACATGTTTTACGAAACCGGACATAGAAATTTAAAAGATCATCACTAAAAACGTGTCAACTATTATTATGTACTTTATGGTTAGTTTTTCTCTACTCTTGTACGAAAACATAAATTGTAGCATTTATCAAGTCGGAAACAGTGACGTATACCTATTGATGACATAGTTGTGTTGTTTGAACTGATGAAGAGTGGGAATTATTGGGTTATTATGAACTAGGAAAAAAAAGAAATGTACAATGTGTCATGTTTCTGTCAATCTCTGACAAAAAAATACCTTTGAAAATTAACGATAAATTCGTAACTATCAATGGACTTCTAGTCGTCCAGTTTCACGTCACATTTGTTCATGAAATGACATGACAACGTAGTGTTCTTGAAGTTTCCATGGTGTATTGTCCTTTACTAACTAAAATAACAGCATATATTTCATCTGATCTGCAAAAATATCTAATTGCCTGTTTTGTCAGGCCTAAGTGATACATTTTGAGTGGGAACTAGTGTAGTTGGTTTGAAATTAAATGAACTGTTAAAGAACTTAGGCATATTGACTTGTTACCAACCCAATATAATTTTCAGTAATATATTTATTGACATGAAGTTGTTCCCGTATTTATGATCCATGGTTGTTTGAAGGAAATTAAATAAGACTCATTTTTATTCTCGTATTTAGCGAGATTTCTCTGGAGCTATCGGAAATAATTAACAAACTGACTGACCTATTCAAAAATTTAAATTTAATGGAGAGCTCCATCATTATGCGATGACTTTTATTGTGATTTACATACTTGAAAATCATCCTTATGTACAGTTTAAGTTTGTTATTATTCATGCCTGAAATATGGGCTGTTGTATTCTTATGCGGAACTGATGATTCTCTATTGAATCAGGCTTAGAATATTTATGTACTGATCATTTCTGTGTACATTGTCCAATTCTAAATTGCATTCATGCGTTTTACATACCAATAATCAATATAAAGTGTTTGTACCTGAACCGTATTGTATCCCCTATATAAATCCGTGTTCTTGAATTATTTGACAAATGACCTTTTTTGTAAAACAAAACAAATATACTTTCGTGTTCATTCTAACCAAATTATCATTTGTTTAGTTTTAAAAAACATAGTTTTGAAACTTCTCTGAAATAAAACACTGTTGTTAACCATTTATTTCGCAGGTTGAAATCATGAGTCAGTTGAAGCTAGACCACCATTGAAAACCTGGAAGCACTGGATGGCCGTTTCGTCCTAGTATGGGACTCCTCAGCAGTGCGCATCCACGATCCCGCACCACGCGGGGCTTCCAGGTTTTCAATGGTGGTCTAGCTTCAACTGACTCATGATTTCAACCTGTGAAATTTCCTAAAATTCTCCACAAAACTCATTCTAACCATTTATTTGTTGAGTTTTATTGAAATGGAAGCGTATATCACTTAGTATCAAGATGTCTTGCTTAATTTACAGAAAAATTTGACTTGCGATATATGTATATATATATATATAACTATTGATAATATAGTGCAATAAAATGAAACCTTCAGAGATCTAGAAAAATAAGACTTAGAATTTATGTTAAAGCCTGAAAACTAAAATATATCTTATATATTCTATGCTATTCACGTATTCCTAATTCCTTCGAATTTCTTAAGTTGCCAATAGTACATTACACAAATTATTAACCATGTAATATATATGTGATAAATGTTTTATTATTGTTTTTATAGCCTATTAAAATCATTATGAAATCAATCTATAGTTTCTTTTTTTTTCATAAGCATATCTGATGCTCTGGTTGATAGAATGACTTTAAAAAGAACATGTACACTTAGCATTAACTATTCAGTTGATCGATCTGTTCGATCTGTTTGTTATTTATGGAAAGCTTTGTTGATTTGATTATCTAAATCCATTTGATATTGATCATTGATCATTACGTTCTACAATTTCATCTTAATCGGTATTTAAATATTTGTATCAATTTAGTATAAGTGATTGTTTTAGAATTAACATGAATGTTAGCTAATACTTAATAAGAGTCTGATATACTTTTGGTTGAGAAATACTTTTAAATGGTTGTAAATGTTTAAAATGCAATATTTATATATAATTTGGGGAATTCTGTCAATAAAGTGTGGTCTAAAGGTTAGGTGTTTGCGCGAAACCTAAGGTCCTTGGTTCGATTCCAGTGTGCGAAATCACGGATATGCACTCCAGAACATTTTCATACTAGGACGAAACGGCCGTTTAATGCTCCAGGTTTTCAATAACATTGATCAGTTCATGATCTTAAATAAATTGTCAACTTTGGGTTGTAAGTGTTCACTGGTTACAAGTTGCAAACTTCAATGAAAGAACTATAAAGTGTTTTTTGTTTGTTACTACGTTATCTGTCATGTAAACTATCTTAATATGTTATACATTTAATGTTGTTTTCTTTTCAATATTAAATGGTAGTTATATACTCTAACACTTTTCTTTGTTATTATTATATGAAGGTAAAGTTTTAGTACTCCTACTAATACGTTTACACTTTTACTATTCATACACTTTCCACTAATCAAATATCAAGTATTTTATAAACGTGAAATGTTTTCATTTAATGTTTATATTTTCTATTCTTTTGTCTCATAATATTCCAAATAATAAATTGTAATCATATTTTATACTTAGATTGAACTGATGAGACCTACTGATTCATTATGGTGTTGTAATCTGCTTTCATCTGTTGACTTGAATTCATTAAAAAAAATTATTGCACCATCATACTCATCGGTTATTTCTTCTAATGGTGAAATTATTCGCTTGGATCCTTCTACAAATAATAATATTTCTAAGTCTTCAATGTCTTCTCTTGTTCCATGCGACTTTTTCCGCTGGAACTCAATTGAAAAACCGGTAAATTGATTACAACAGTTTTCTTTGTTGTTTGTTTTCGTTGTGATTTGTAGTGAAAAAAAATTTTCTCTGTAAAATATCCATTAAAATATCGTTTTATGATCGTCAGTTAAATTCATCTGAATAATTCATTCGCTATTAAACAGGCTAAAAAAACTGTCTAATCAGCTTAATTCGATTTGAAATGATTTGAATTGTGTCACTGTTGATATTTTTTGTTTGAAATGTGATCAGCCTTAGTTGGCATATGTTTACTCTATTCAGATTGCTTCGATATATCCATTACTACGCAAGGTAATATAGAATAGGTGATATGTAGATAGCAGTGAAATCCAAGACGAGCGTTTTGTCCTGTTTAGGGCTCGTCAGCTGGATACATATGCATCCTGGAGTTGATATTCATTTCAGGACTGAAAATAATTTGATATGGCCTAACAAATAATGATTACACTTACTAAAATGAAATTGACAGCCAGTTAAATAATAGTCCGGTTTTTTTTGTTTATCGTATTCACCGTAGTACTATCTTTATAATATTTCTACGTATTAAGTATTAAAAATTGATTGAGAGAGTCAATGAAAAGCTTTGTACTTGTCATTAACATACCAATGTAACTTATATATAAATAGTTGCAGACCAAAATTAATCATGTGATAGTTTGGCGTGCTTCGTCTGTAGATTTATTGACTTTACTTATTTAAATATATAAAAATTCGTATGAGAAGGCACCAAATACATATGCGCCACACAAATCGAATGATTTGTGTGACTACTGAGATAATTACCGGGCGTCCGAATCGGAGCAGGTGGTCTTCTTAGTAGGCCACACCTCGAGCCTTTGATTTACAGTTCTAGTCCGTAAGATAATGGAGCAACGTTAGGAGATGCAGTCCCATGATAGTTGGTGACCAACAACAGGTTCATACACCATTTGTTCCATCAGGACCCTGGAGCTCATATGCACCATTGGTTTGAGATCAAAGTTATCCAAATCCGTGTCCACCAACTCGATTTTAGCGCTGAAGATTCAATTTTGTCTTTTCAATTTCATAAACAGCGCCCCTGCTACGAGAAGGCAGTCAATAGGACTTTCCTGACTTTCTTGTATACGCCTAGCGATGTGAGCGCATTTCGAGAGGGAGAGTTGACTCTTCTCACCCTTGGTCATACCAGGGCATTTGTATATTAAAAGTTGTAATAATGTAGCTACAGCAGAGTCCGAATAAAACTTGGGTATAATCTCATTTTATTTGAATAACACTGATATTTTATGCTCATAACTCTATATTAGTTGTATATATCGACCTAGTGATCTTTATTATGTTTCAGTCCCATTTGATCTTAATGTTATTGACTGAATTTCATTACAATTATCAAACATCATATTTATCTGTTTAAAAATTTGACTGTTTTAAGTAAATGTGTATTTAAAAGTTACGTTTTATAGATTTCATTGTTAAACTATAAACTATTAGCTATATAAGATTATAACATAAAATTATATTCATTACTTTTAATAATTAAAAATATATTTGATCATATTGTATTGATTATTTCCTCTCCGTTTCCATTCCACTTTTATAGGCTGTATATCAGTCAATACCAATAGTTCAAACACGTACTATCCGATTTATTCTTGATCCATCAATAAAGATTAATGAGTATAACACTTTTAATCATACAAAAATTCATATTGTACATGGTACTAATATACCATTAGTTCCAACTAGATCATTTTACCATCATTAGTCAGTTATTATTATTATTATTATTATTATTATTATTATTATTATTATTATTATTATTATTATTATTATTATTATTATTATTATTATTAGTTATTAAGTGTTATCTTCTAACTGAATTCTTCTAAGTACTATACTTTTTGTTTCTTTCTCTCTTATTCATTTTTTTTCTGTTGTTGATACAGTTTGATATTATTTCAATTTTGATGAGTTTTCTTTCGACCCCACATTATTGGTTCGTTACTTTTTCCTAATTGCATTTTGACTGTACGAAGCATATATAATATATATATATATATATATATATATATATATATATATATATATATATATATATATATATATATATATATATATATATAGTAACCATATTTTCTATCTTTCCAAAACTAGTTTTGTTAGTCTCTATGCCTATCCTTTTGTTGTCATTGTTGTTATTTTGTTTAGTCAACGATTATGTGGACAAAGAAGAAAATTAATGAAGAATACTTATTATTATTCGAATTGATTATTTCTTTTCTGTTTTGTTTCCATCTTTTCTTTTTCTTTGCCTTATGTAATGTTTGTCCTTGATTTTATGATGATGATTTTGTATCTGTGTGTTTAGTAAATCTAAGAAAAATGTCACACATGTTTTTTTGTTTTGTTTGTTTGTTTTTCTAATCTTAAAATTGTAGTTTATTGTTTAATTTTCATTGTTTAACCTTTTAAGATGCAATAAAAATCAATATGAATTTTGAGTATTTGTTACTATTGAGTTTAAAACAAACAATAAGTCCCTTTGATCATTTTCGATAATACAATGAGAAGACGAAGTTTATCAGAATTATGTGTGATATATTTGCACAATACATTTCGAACAATCTGATCACACATTATATACTCGTTAAGAACATTTATATATGAAAATTAAAAGGTCAACCACTTTGGATAATAAATCAGTATTACCAGGGTAGGTTAAGTGTAAGGACAAATTGTTTTTGAACACATAAAGGGGCTTTCAATTTCCGTATAGCCAAGGCTTCAATAAACCTTAGTATATATCCTTGACGGCCTTTGTATAACATTATAAATGTTGATTTGACGTCAACCTTATGAGTTTATTGAAAATGTGGATAGATTTTAGTATTGTACATCGCTTAAAAACTATACATAAGTTCTTATATATATTGCATTTTAAGGTGAATAATACTATTGAAGAACGTGAAGTAGATTTAAGTTAATGTTAAAGTTTATCAGGGATTGTATATCTGTATTTAGTTAGTGTGGTCAATATTTATAAGGAAAAAGGCTAATCTTTACTTTGTATAGATTATGATTAACAGTGGATTATAGAATATACACTTCCTTGTATTTAGGACTCGTTGATTGAATTTATCGTCATCCAAGTCATCGTATTTGCACTTCTCAATATATTTAACATTTGTAGCTATATAAAAATTAAAAAGTCAATTGGAAATGATTTTTTAATATAATTAATTTACAACGTTATCCGTTTTATCAATGTTTATTAGTAGACTGGTGGTTTAATGTGTAGAAAAATTAACTCACGAACAATAGGTCACTAGTTCGAATTCTACTATGACCCTTTTTGATTCAAGCAGCCAGAAGTTATCGTTATCTCTTACATAAATGACTCGTCTTGTGAATAAAACTACATGTTATGAGCTACAGTCTGTAACTCATTTGCCAAGTATAGGTTCTATGTAATCGGTTTTGAGCTACACTGTTCGTGTTTTGGTGATTGATACTACATGGTGGCACCGAAGTTTATGTTAATCAAATTCGGTTTTTTAATCACTAGGCTACCACTTCACAGCGTATTAGAATCTTATATTAACTGATATGACACGAATTTCTTTAATATATTGAATGGATACTTGGTAGTTATTTTGATACTCTTCAAAATATTCAAGCACATAAAATTTTGGATTTTTACAAAGAAAATCTAATGATCACTTAAAAGAGCAGTAGTTTATCGTTGTTTTTTTTGTTGTTGGCTGCTTGACCTTAATCTTGTGATGAACAAATGTAGGTTAATGTCGAACCGAAAGACTAATTTTTTGATTAAGGAAAGAGATAAATTTATTAATGTCCCTTTAATTTGTTCATTATTTTGAGGATTAATCGAGTGATTAGTTCGATCAATATTTGTTGTACTATAAGCCACTTAAACAAAATTCACCTTGATTGAATCGGTCAATTTAAATGCTTTACAAAAAGCATGATATTAAAAGTTAGGAAGAATAAGTTTTATTTTAACATTTTCTTGATGACAATTTAGTTATTACATAATTCATAAACGGAGGTTTGTGGAGAATGAAGAATTCTCATAGTTTAGGTTACAAATTGTTCTTAACTAGGCTATCATTTGATAGCTGTTTTGTCCTGGTAAATGATTCTTCAACAATGCACATGATCATTGCTCCTTTTACTAGTTACTTTTATGTGATTTTAAACATTGTGAGTAGTTTTGACTAACGAAGATGGTGTTTTTATAAGTAACGTTTACCTCAGTAGTAGTTGTTACCGGTACATTTATAAAAGAAATCTATCTATCCGTGAATCGATGGCAGAAATTGTAGAAGAAGCTTCAGTTTTATTTACGAAAATAACAAACATATTTGTGTGATAACATTTGAGTTTAAGATTCTAGTAGCTTCTGATTATCAAGCAACAGATTCGACAGTTTTTCAAATAAGATAATAGGAACAATTTGTTATTATTTTAAAATTCTCTTGGAAGCTTCGTATGATTACTGTTTGATCGAAATATTTTCCTGATTCTTTTTGAGGAATTACCGATGATTATTATCACGGTACTTCATGTCAGTCAGTCAGTCAGTCAGCTACAACGTAGGACCAGGCACATGTGTGCATCGGTCCAGGTTGCCATACCGCATCAGCACAACAAGATGAACACCGGATTCATAACAGTGGTTAGGTAAAAGGTGGTAATATATAAGAGAAGATTGCATATAGAGATATAGTACAAGAAGAAAGAATTGGTTAGTAGAAAGAAAGATATGAAGCGATTTTAATCTCTTAGTTTAAGGGAAGACAGGGAGTGTATACACCGACGCCATTGTGATCGATTCTGAGCCATGTCACCAAGAGTCTCCAACCATTGGTTACGATAGTCACGCGGACCCCAACCAAGTAGTCTGCATCTACCAACATGGCTCAGACTAGAAGTTAGTGACTTCAAGCACTGATGCCACGTTTTGGTTTGGCCGCCCCTAACTTTCTTCCAACCATTTCCAATACCGGATAGTATTGCACGTCGTGGTAATCGGTGTTCAGGCATACGTAACACGTGGCCCAACCATCTCAGTCGATGAAGATTCATAACCTTCATGTACTTCATGTACTTATTATTGATTCAAAATAAATTCAGAGAAATAAATGTTAAAAAGAAAGTTTGGTAACTACTAGTATTAGAACAAAATATACGCACCTATTCGGATTTATTTTGATATGGTAATGATCAAGTATAGTAGGAATCTTTTTTCTAAATAATTATCGAATTTGTTGTTTGACAAAAATGACCATTCACAAAATTAGAATTCTTTAAAATATGTACGTGATTAACTTAAATACAATATATCTTCAGAATGTTATATGTTATATCCCGCGAGCGAGATCGTGGATGCGCACTGCTGAGGATTCTCACAATGGGACGAAACGGCCGTCCAGTGCTTCCAGGTTTCCAAATTTGGTCTAACATCAGTCGGTTCATGATCTTAATCGAAAACATAATGATTTGATTTATACGAATAATCGTCAAGATTAGAATGAATAGTTTGACAGAAATTGGGCACCGAGTATAGAGAAATCATTATATGTGAAAATTATATTTGAAATAATCTCAGCGATTGAAATCTACATAATAATTTCAATGTTTCGTCCAGCTAACTTATATGGACTTCTTCAGGGTAATAATCAAAATCATCAAAGAAATATATAAGGCTTTAACAATCAAATCAGATTAAATCTATACTGTGTTAATCCAATCATATTTGGATGTTGATTTTAGTAAATAAGAAAAACATGAGTCAATTAAATGCGAATCATGGGAAAAGTTCACAATGTGAAAATTAATGACTGCAACGAATTGTCCGTCTGTATGTGTATGTATGTATGTGCAAAATTGAGTTAATATGTTTTAAATAAAGGAAAAATATAAGTGCGTGTTGAAGGTTGAAAAAATTGTTTCTGTTGAAGTGCATGTAAAATGAGAATCATCAAATACAAAATTGTATTGCTGAAAATAACTCACATTAATTCCGGTCAAAATAATGATGCATGTGAAGTAAACAAATTGAATAAATAAAGGGTCTAATTACTTGTCAACGAATATTTGCCAGGTAGTCAATGGTTGAATACCGTCCTTTCCATTCAGGCTATTCTTGTTCGTCCATATACACAGGGCTTCTGCTGTCAATCTATCTTTATGAGTATTAAAACCTTTCTGAATTGTTTCGGTCCCTTCAAAATTAATGTTGTGTCCTGTTTCTAACTCATGTCACGCTATCGCAGACGTATTCTCAAGTTTCTTTAGGTCAACCGATGATTGGCGAACATTTATCAAACACCATTTGTGTTCCCTCAACCTTCAAATTGCAGTTTTATTTTTCCTTCATTTTAAACATATTAACACCGAATATCATTCATTATTAACTCAATTTTACACATACATACACACACAGATAATTCGTTTCAGTCAATTATTTGCCTTTAACTGACTCATGTTTTCCCATTTACTAAAATCAATATCCAAATATGATTGGATTAACACAGTATAGATTTGATTGGTTGAAGTTAGACACTAACACCGTTGGATGCCGGCTCAATGGTCTAATGCTTAAGTGTTCGAGCCCGAGGTCAGTAGGTCCTGGGTTCGAATCTCGCGGGGTGCGGGACCGTGGATGCACACTGCTGAGGAGTCCCGTGCCAGTACAAAACGGTCGTTTAGTCCTTCCGGGTTTTCCATGGTGGTTTAGCTTCAAATGACTCATGGTTTCAACCAGTGATGGATTTGATTGTTAAAACGCTACATATTTCTTTGGTGATTTTGATTATTACCCTGAAGAAGTTCATATAAGTAAGCCAGACGAAACGTTAGAATTATTATGTAGATTTCAATCGCTGAGATTATTTCAAATATAATTTTTTACATATAATGCTAATGATTTAATGTTATGCAACCATTCAGCGATGAAATATTATCGTTTTGTTTTTTGTAATTACTATTATTAACTTATATACTAGTTAGAGTTTACAAAAAAGTTATCCTAATAGATACAAGTTGACTTATATGGATTTTCTATAGGATTAGACATTCTGTCAACTACACAATCTATCTAGAAGTCAATCATCAGGTCATTTTCTTCAGTTAAAAGTAACTAAAAGATTTTCTAACTCTATTAGTCAATCTAAATATTCTTCTGGTTAAAATTATTTATTCAATGACTATATCTACTTCTAGAAAATACAACTTCCTACGCTTCTCATTATCATATACATATTCTTCTCTATTAATGTTAAAGGGAAGGAAATTATAGGAAGACTCTTTTCCCTTCAAACCGCATAAATTAATTGAAGATCAGGACTTTGATTTACCTATAGTTAATATTGCCGTTTCTATTGCATGATAAAAAATCTGTTAATAATAGTTATATAATGGGCGTTGAATAGTTAAAAGGTTTTAGCAGTCAAGACATTAGTTCTCATGTTTAGAAGGAAGAAACTCTGTGTTGGCAATTGGATTTAAGGGTGAATGTAAACTTGTCAAAGTCAATGTGTCTTTATTTCCATATATATATTTGTATTTTATTCAAAATAGCTTACATATTATTTTTAGGATTTTTATTCTCAAAACTGCAGTGTATAGTTTTATGAAACAGGTAACTCTCCAGACAACCTAAAGTACTACAAATGTACTTAAAAACAATTCTGATAACTGTTCGACAGTCCGACAATCTTTTTATTTGATACAGATTTTTGTGAAAATCTAGTCAATTTGACTACTGTGTTTGATGAAAGAGGTTCGTAGCTCAGGTAGAGAAGTTTAATGGTCACGTATTCTCTAAGTTGGGTCGTTTAATTTTGAAGCTTTCACTGGCGTTCTGGATAACATTTACATTTAACACAAAATTCCCAATTAATATAGTGCGATTAAACCTTTTAAATTACAGGCCGCAACTTCACTGACAACTCTTTTCTATTTTGTCACTAGCTGATAAATATTAATTGTTTCATCATAAGGTGCAGCAATTATTTAGTTTTCAATAATTCTAATGATAATATATCAGTAAGCTATCTCTTTTACTTTTCCTATACAAAATAGAATGTTAAAAATAACTAACACAGTCTTAATAATAAGGTTGGTTCATTCCGTAATTTTTGTCAATCACTGACAATAATGACAATTTAGATTAATAAACAGTCTAGTTAATATTCATTTATTATTTCTAAAATGATTCCACATGCAACATACATACCTTTAAATAAATCATTGTACAAATATGCATCATTAGACCAGTTTGCCACACACAATATCAATACAGAAATATGTAATTTAAAAGGTGAATAACAAATGAATTGTTGGTTCTAACAATGAACAAAAGATTAAATATACAAATGTTAGTTCATAAAACAATGTGAGAAATAAATTAAAGTACATGACTTAACATAGAAAATAAAGAATAAATATATCTGTATTAAGCCAACCTAAATTAAATTATGTCATACAAGGTCCCCCCCCCAACCACTTATTGTGTGGAACTCAACTAAGCAAGGTAGGATAGATGATATTAACTAATCCAACTAAAACTAACAGGTTTATGAATAAGATTTTTATGAATGACTTTAGAATTTTGCAAACTAACAACAATAATAACAAAAATAATCAGAAAAGCTCATTTTAAATGCTTGTTTATATTATCATTACTACATAGATTATTAATATTATCAAATCAATTAAATAATGACATCAAATAGATAAATAATTCATAACACTGGTTCTTGTTTCCGATGGTTTGTTTACTGTTTAAAGAATCTCTCCAAATTCAGTGCTCAAATAACAATTTGATATTCATCATTATTATTACTATTAATATAGAAACAATATAACATTGAATAAATGAATTAACCAATTGAATTGTAAAAAGAAATTGTGCGTATGATCAGCTTTTTTATTGTTGTTGTTCGAATAGTATAATAATATAATGACAGGTAGATCACAAATTGTCTTTTTCTTTTTACACTCTATAAATGAATATGTATCTATAAGCATTTCTATATAAGTATGCATATATATATGTATATGATTACTAAGAATAGATAGAATGTATTCGTATTCATACTTTCAACAGAATTAAACAAAATAATTACATAGTAACAATGAAATAAATTGAAAATTTGAATATTATAAAAAAAATATCTAATTGTGACATGAAATAATTATCTGGAAAAAAACAACAACAACAACTTATGACTACTTAATTGTCATTAGATAGTAAGTAGTAAACAAAAATAAAATCAAATCATCTATTGAAACAGATCCAATAGTTTAAATAAATGATAATCCATAATAATCAAGTTTGTTGATAAATAAAATGTTTTATATTGTTGCGTTTTTGTTGTTGTTGTTTCTCTCTAAACGTCTTGGTAAAAGAACTATGAATAGAATGTTCTAGATAAATAGGATCATTTATTAAAACTATTCTTTGTTGTTGTTGTTGTTGTGGTTGTAAAAAAATCATTGGTATCACAAGCGAACTTAAAATACATATAACGGAACCTTCTTTTTTTAAAGAATGAAAAATAGAATATTAGTAATCTAACAAAAGGATTGCACAAGAAGACAATAGTTATGTAGATATATGTATATAGTGTAATTTATAATGAAACAAGAAAGTTGGAATTAGTTTTTACGACTTTACAAATTATGCTGATATCAATAATGATAATAATAATAATAATAATAATAATAATTCATTAAATAAATAGGCCATAGGAACAACAACAACAAAAAAAAATAAAACAAAGAAAAAACGGCAAATAACAAAAAAATATTGAATGAAATATGTATTACATCTATATTGATTTTATTTTTTTTTATAAATTTTTTTTGTATAGTTGACATGGAATTATTAGTTCATAATATAAAATAAATTCAACCCTCACCCCCCACCCCCCCAAAAAATACAAAAAAAATTTCTTCTTAAATAAATGACCATATTTCAAGTGTGGTAATCACAAAATCTGGTGATGATAAAGTTAATTGTGGACTATCAAATGTTTCACAATTGACACTATGTCCATGTAATAAATTATCATCAAGTTGAATTGCTGAATGACCTCTGAAATAAAATAAAATAATGAAAAAAGTATATAGAAGAGAAGATAATGAAATTATCATTGTGAAAAAGAAACAATGTTCAAAGTAAGAAATGAGTTCAAAAAAAATTCTAGGAAAAAAATATTGGATGCCAGTTCCATGATCTAGAGGTTAATAGTTTGAGCGTGAAACCGAGGGTTTTAGGTTGGAGTTATGTATGCGGAATTGTTAGTAAGTACTGATGAAAAGCTTCATACTAAACCGAAATAGCCTTTCAGTGCTTTTAGATTTTTAATGGTGGTCTAACTTAGATCGATTCATGAATCCAATTATTATTAGCTCATTCGTAATACTGAATTCGAATGACAAAAACGTACACTTTAGGATATATTATTAGTAACTGCTTGGTAATTTAAAGAAACCTATATGTTTAGTAAGAATTCATTTCAATTTTTCATACACATATTTATGGATAACCGGGGATTAGAGAATGAAAATGACAAACATGGTATTTTTTTCTTCAAGTTTACATGTATCTTAGTGACGAGTCTTTTCTAGTACAACACCACTAGTCTATAATAATTTGAGAGTTATTAAAAATGATGATATGGTACACAGATATTTCGTTCTTTTATAAAACTCTTCCGTACTGGCCATTCACAGTCACATGATCTACTGGTTTCTCAGAGAAAATAACAGTCGATAAAGACTATATACCTTAGTACATATGTGTATTGCTTCAAGTTGTCGCATCATGTCAGCACCGAAAAACGAAATTATTTAGATGAATATCAGATTCTTGGAAGCAATAAGAATTTCATCTGTTGTATGAGTTATTAGACATATACACTTTAATTTGTGAATGGATGAATTCTTGGAAATAAAACGTTCAAGATAATCCCAACAAACCAAACTAAATGCAAAACATTGAGTGAATGCAATTACACCACTACAAACGATTTCAAGCCAATAGCACCCAAAGTTTTCAGCTATCGCTTTTAATATCACCATCATTGTATTGAATGGAATCTAATTCTTCATACACGATTATCATGTTTTTACTATTAACAGGAAAATGTCACACTCATATGATCAAAAAATAAACTGAACAAACCTTTAGAAATCCAGTGACTATTAAAAATATGTACAATTTTTTTTAACTGTCTCTAGTTTTCTAACATTCAGTACATATAAAGGTGCTTGATTAAAGATTAAACTAAACGCATATTCAACAGTGGAAGGAATAAAAAGGATAAAGAATCAGGTAAAAACGTGAAGATAATAATAATATCGAGTAGCTAAAATTAAGAGCATTGGAAGGATATGATGGCTTGCACATATCTCTTTTGCACATAGAGTTCAGGTTTAAAAGATGGATTGCTAGTGACCCTGAAGTGCATATGTTACTAGTTTGCGCATCATTCGGACAAAATCATCTGACTGTATAGATGATTTAAAAGGACATGTCAATGCGGCCATGTGACTGGAGTTTACAAGATGTTCTAATATTGAACTGTTGATTGATTTATAATCACCTTTCAAAAGCCACGCGGGATAATGTTCGGACATGTGTTTGGAAAGAGTTCGCTTTGTGCAACCTATGTAGCCTGTTTCATAAGAGCAAGTGTACTTATATATAGGACTGATGTTGTTAGCAATGCTAACTAGTTGCTCATACGGAAGCAAGGCAGGACGATATTTACAATTATGATCTGGCGAATAAGACCTGAGTGATTTTATTTGTACAAAGTCACTGCTAAGCTATGTTACTTGACTTCAACATTCATTAATCAACTGCATAACTGATAAGCATTTTCAGTACTATCCTCAACACTAAAATCAGTGAGTATATTGGAAATAATCAGAAAATCTGTACAAACAATGGATATTCATCATAGACAGTTAAATTTGTTCACTGGAATACGAATGAATGGCGTTAGATTCATCTGAAAAATTCTTCAGAATAAAGAATGAATATTTATTATAAAAAGTCAGACCTTAAAAAATTATTAACGCATACCATTGTACATAATACAAGAGATATTTTAACATTATAATTTATGGACAAACCAATCAGATTAAAGATAATAGGTTTTTGAATTTCAGCGCAAAATTCATTCATCCATTTGCCTAAATAGCGTTTTGACATTTTAGCTGATATCAGTTCGTGATAGAAGTCATAAATCGAATTCTTAACCCTAACCATCAACTGTAAATCATTATCTTTATTCTTCAAGCTGCTTCATAACTCTCATCTAGCCCTAGTAAGTAAGTGGATATCCTCAAGGTCACTTGTAGCGACGCTCAAATGTCATCCCTAAATTATAGTCATACCGATATTTTATTTAACACAAACAGGTAAAATATGTAGTGAATTAATACTTTCTAGTCTGGTAGAACAAATAAATACTACACAATTACTTGGAAAAGTAATAAATTGGATACACCTTTTCATTAAAAAAATTTGGGTTTAGATATAGTGAATATGATGGTGATCAATCATGCTTTTAATAGTGTACACTTCATAAGTAAAAATGATTTGAATTAAAGTCGTAATTTGAAAATGGATTTCAGAATTTTCTTTAATCTTACCATTGCTTCGAATATAAAAGTAAACAAGATCCTAACTTATTCTGGAAATCATAGACTATTTGATTCCTTTCATTCTGCTAATATAAACTGATAATTATTTTCAAATAAGTTTACATAGAATCATTAAGTTTTTGGATATTTTTATAATGTGAATGTATTTGGAAAACAAACATATTTAAAATCATGAGTCAATTGAAGCTAGACCACCATGGAAAACCTGAAAGCACTGGACGGCCGTTTCGTCCAAGTATGAGACCACTCAGCAGTGCGCATCCACGATCCCGCCCCCCGCAAGATTCGAACCCAAGACATATCAGTCTCGCCCATCAGCACTTAACCATTAGACCACTGAGCATGCACTTAACTGCATTTCTAATGAGAAGCCGTGACCAGTAAAGTTCATTCAGGTCTGTTGTAAGATATCAGCTCAATGAAAACAATGGTGTACGGTGGCGCAATTTCGTGGATTGTTTGAAGTTAGACATTAACACCGTTGGGTGCCGGTTCAGTGGTCTAATGGTTAAGCGTTCACGCTCGAGACTGACAGGTCCTGAATTTGATTTTTGCGGGGGGCGGGATCGGGGATGAGCACTGATGAGGGGTCCCATACTAGGACGGAACAGACGTCCAGTGCTTCCAAGTTTTCCGTGGTGGCCAGGCTTCAATTGACTCATAATCTCAACCATTGAAATTTATAAAATCTCCACAAAACCCCTTCTGATAAAAAAATATATATCTTTGCAATGACTAGTTTAATATCAGTTGATATATTCAAGTTTTCTCAAAAATGCCTACTAAGACAATTTGTCATATGAGAGAATAACAGAAGAAGCTATGTAATTTAACTAACCCATATATAAGATAATTTTTGAAGTATTATAGCATAAAACTAAATATTCAACTTGACCAATCAAAATTCCTCTTTATCCAAAATTGTTTCCGTTCTCATGGTTACCTACCGATTTCTAAATCTAGTAATCATTGTAATAAATAATGTTTTGTTGATTCTATCTGTACGGTTATTGTCATTATTATTACTAAGATTATTGGTTATCTTAAAAAAAACCCAACTATACAGACCATTAAACAAAAAAAAACATTTCTAACCTAGAAAAGAAATTTGTTTAGTAGAATAAACAGAGTCCATAAATACTTTGGTCAAATGATAAACCAAAAGGAATAGAATAATATTTATTAACTTAACTAAATCACACGTAGAGAGCACGTGTACTCCTAGTTTCCAATGTTATGTTTGTATTTCTATGTATCTATTTGCTTGATACACTTTAAAAGTTATACACATATATGTATATACGAAAGATCGGGATAGAAAATATATAATGGAAATAAAGCAAAACAAAATATAAATCGAAATTCACTTACTGAGAACATCCTATAGTAAGCGAATCATAATCACCATTGATAAAATAGGAATTTTTACCGCTCCATATAAATTTCTAAAGTAACGTTTATAAAAAGCACAATTATAATGATGATTATAATAACGCAATGAAGTAGTAGGAACGAAATATAGAAAAAAAAATTAATATGGATTTATAAACGATTTAAAATACTAATGATAATAATATCTCAACAAATGAGATTATTTGAATGGTTGAGATCATGAGTCAATTGAATCTAGACCACCATGGAAAACCTAAAAGCACTGGTCAGCCATTTCGTCTTATTGTATGACCCCTCAGCAGTGCGTATCCACGATCCCACCTTGCGAGATTCGAACACAGAACCTATCAGTCTCGTGTGCAAACGCTTAACCACTAGACTACTAAACCGGCATCCGATAGCGATTATCCACGAAATTGGGCGACACGTCCACCAATATCTTCAGTGAGTTACTATCTCTCAATAGACCTGGTTGAACTCTACAGGTCATTGCTTCTCACTAGAACTCCAGGAAATACCTCTTGAAGTTATTCACTAGTGAGCATGTGTTGTAACATATCAATTGACTCATGATTCCAACCATCGAAATTACTACAATATCCACAAAACCCTTTCTGAAATGAGATTATTTTGAAATTGATATCAATTAACAGTATAATATTTTGGCTAATTGTTTATATGAAGGTGATGAAATATATTATTGTACGGATCATTAAATGCAGGATAATTTTCTGTTTAGAAACATATTAACTTTATCAATTTTACCAAATGAAATTGTTGATATTCAGTTACTAATGTTCGACTTAATAGGGATAAATATAAATAATAAATTATTAGATTTTTGATTGAGATCATTAGTCGACCAATGTTAGACCAGCATTGAAAACCTGTAAACACTGGATGGCTTGGGACTCTTCAGCAGTGCGCATCCACGACCTTGTGTATGGAACTCGAACCCAGGATCACCGGTCTCGCGCGCAAGCGCCTAGCCTCTAGACCACTGAGTCGGCATCCAACGATGTTAATGTCTAATTTCGACCAATCCAAGGTATTGCGCGGCCATCTTCTATTTTCTTCGGTGGGTAACTGCCTCACACCCGACATGGATTAGCTCCACTGGTCACAGCTTCTCACTAGGACTCAAGGTTTTCAATGTTAATCTAGCAAGAATCGATTCATGATCTCAATCAAAAGTCAACAATCTACACAACCCCATACTGTGGACTATTAGGTATTGTTTCGTTCATGACAAAGTAATAATGAATATTTTATGGCAAATGAAATGAACAGTTTATCTATTTTTATGAATACAACCATTATCAGTTGATTTACTTGGAATGTTTGTTTTTTATCCTGTTCTGGAAATTCTCTTTTATCATCATAACATAAATGTGCGAATTCCTTAGTTACAGTTTCAGTTCTCATATCAAATGTTGACGAAGATGAGAATATATCAGAATTATGATTGTCTGTTACTAATAATGCCGATGATGATATTGATGCAGAGTTTACATCTACTGGTATATTCATTAATTTATTAGAAGTAGCTGATAAAGATGTAGAATCTTGTTCATTGATTGATCTACTATTTTCTTCTAATTGATCTTGTTTTGAATCAGTTGTGTTGATCCATCGAAATACAAAACATGATCCATTACCATAGAATCGACCATTACTTGGATAAGGATGTGTATTAAGCATTGCCCCAAATATCTAAGTAATTAGAAAAGAAGTAACGGAACAATTTGTAAGTATCAATAACATGATTGGATTTGATAGGTTTAAATAGATTAAGCATTAGGTAGAAGTAGGTCAGAAATACAAATTTCTACTCATTGGAATATCATAAAAAATATAATTATCATTTAAAGCATACTTCATTTTTATTAAAAACACCCAAATCATTGAACGAAGAATATTATTTTTTAATATAAGTTCATTCCAGGTTCTACAATTATAAATCCCCCTTTAATGATCCAGAAGAATGGTCAAATATCATGCAAATACATGTTCAAAAATAATAATAACATATTAATTGAGAACTTAATTCTACTAATGTACATACAACATTCCACTTTGTAGTTTCATCATAAGATAGGAATGATATATTTTAACATTTTTCAATTACATGATTTTTTAGTGGTCTTGGATCTGACTCCAATTAGATCGGTATTAGTGATCGCTAGTGAAAAATGGCTATCGTAATATATATGTTGCCTATCCTCGTATCTAATCATCGACTTAACTAGTGTTAGTGAATAATGGAATTAAAATAATTCAAATATGAGAAAGGATTTTGAATACATATATTTTGTACACTCATTGACTTGAACAGACAGAAGGACGACGCAAATAGAAGAGAGTGAAGCTAAATGACGCACGGTGGAAGCGTGTGAACCAACTTCATTTAATCAAGATTTAATTAATATTTATAGTCAGATAAAAATAGGTTACAGACATGTGATCAGTAGGATATGGAGTGAACACACATACGCTCATATAAAAAACAGTCAGAATTGATAAATGAATAATTATCAAGAAGAATGGATAGATTAGTCTGTCCAGAAGCTAGAATAAACGGTGTGGGCTTAACATAGCAACCAACATAACAATCTCTTCATTATACTTCATAACTTTAAAAAATTGATAATCATTCACAATGTCATTTTGAATTTTATGCTAACTATGCACTTTAACTAACAAATTTGCATTTTATTCATTATCTTTTCATCATCATTGATAAATCTATTCCCCTTCTTTTGATAATTTCATTGTAAACCCATAAACACTAACCAACCTTAAATTGGATGTTAATCATGTTGTTTGCTAATTTTGTTTTGTTATATAGTTTGAAACTAAACTTCATTGATAATGGTATGTAAAACATATTATAATAAAACTAATGTCAATTTAGGCCGTTTACAGCTAATGGAAAGCTTTGTCATATGAATAATTCATGTTATTCTACAAATCTTATTCTTCTCACTTTATTTAAATTAATATTATTATTTAAATATATTTGTATTATCATTATTCTAAATACCAATCTTTCAAACATTTAACCACACTATCTTCTTTGTTAATCCTATATATAAGTGTATAAATTACATTGTGTTCCATCAATGAATATACTAGTCATTTGAGCATTACTATTTCATTTCTACTTGATTATTCTTTCCAATTATTTATTTGAATGTATAACTGTAGATTTGAAAAGATTTTTTATTGAAAGTAAAAATATTCTCCGTTCATAAAGACAAACTGTTATACCATTTTTATAGGTATCAATATCAAGATTGAACAATGATAGTTTCAAATGAATCAAGTATTGTATAAAGAGTTAATAATCAATATATTTTTTATTATATTCCAATGAGTAATGATTAGTATTTCTGACGTTTCGTGACTTGATGTCAGTCACTTCTTCAGAGGAAATAAATAGCCAATATGAAATTGACACAAATTTAAATAGTATAAATGAAACAATGCAGAATACTACTAGTACAATCATGATCATCATATGTCTGAATATGTCAATATCAAGTAATTTCTGATCAAAATGAACTTGTATAACTTATCACTGTATTAATTTGTGCATCAAACTATGGGTATGAAAAACATATGAATTTGTAATATAAAATAGTCGGATTAATTTGATTCGGTTTTTTTATTTACTTTGAAGAACTAGCTTACATTGGGGTTATGAAACGGCTAAAATACAGTTTTTCTACTCATTGGGATATAACAAAAATATATATGTATTATCATATATTTTGATGAAAGTTCATACGAAAATGAGATTATTATTTATGAAAACAATATCGGAATAACATGATAAACATCTTCAGTATTATGTAATCAGACCAAACATTAAATATGATCAAATTAATTTCGAATTCAGTAAATAAAATGATAAACTATAGAAACTAATAGAATTACTGTACTTTTGTTCCTAAATCAATAGATGATAACAAAACATAAGACAACTGAAATATCCATTAACGATGGGATAAAGTTAGCTTGTTTAGTATTATGAAATTCAATTTTCAGTGACCCATTAGTTTTTAATATTTTGATCCTTTATAAAGTAACTCGTTCAAAATGTTGAACTATTATTCAAACACTTTTATAATCAAACCTTAAACCACACGGTTGGAAATATTTATTTATTTATTTATCTATTTATACCCTTTGATATTTATCAGTTTATTCACTTCATCTTTGGATTGTTCAGTCACAGTCATTCTCAATCATGAAAGTTTATTTAAGCATATAATTGAGTTAAAATATGTATCTCATTCATTTTCATTATTTAAAATATATATATTCACAGATTGAAATCATGAGTCAGTTGAAGCTGGACCACCATTGAAAACCTGGATCGTGGATGCGCACTGCTGAGGAGTCCGATACTAGGACGAAACGGCCGTCCAGTGCTTCCAGGTTTTCAATGGTGGTCCAGCTTCAACTGACTAATGATTTCAATTTGTGAAAATTTCTTAAATCTCCACAAACCCCTTCTGATATATATATGTACATTACCGAGTATTTTCAGAGGGGGGGGGAAGCGGCAATTTTAAGTTTACTTAGTGAGTGTAACATATAGGGAATATAATTTTCACTATGGATTTCATTTCAAACTTTAAATTTCATTTAATCTAGTTCTTTTTCTTTAATTCAACAAGTTATGATAAATATAAAAGACACATGTCGATAGCTTGAGATAATTGAATTGAAGTTACAAGTGAAAATAATTCTTTTATATGTAACACTCATTTACTAAATAGACGAAAAATGATGAAAAATGTTAAAGACTACACTACTATTATATAATATAAAAAAGTGTAAGATTTACTTCACTCTATATAATTCAATTAATAGATACATCATGTCATTACTGAAGTGTATCTAAATTGAAAAAAAACAATGTTTGTTTTATGAATTCAGTAATTTGTTTTAGATAAATTTGAAAGTTTTGATAATGTAATAAAAAGACATAGATTATAAGAACTATGTGATATTTTAGCGTAATACATTTCGAACAATCTGATCACATACAAATACTAATTCTGATAATCTTTATCTTCTTATTAATTACTTACACCTGTTACTTTCAATAGAGCATAGACCGCTGACCAGTATTCTACAACCCACTATGTCTTGGGCCCCCCTTTCCAGTTCGATCTAATTTTTGTCCATTCTTCTCATGTCTGTCTTCATTTCTCGACGTAACGTGTTCTTTGGTCTTCCTCTTTTCCTTTGGCTTTGAGGATTCCATATGAGGGTTTGTCTTGTGACGCAGTTGGGTGCTTTCCTCAATGTGTGTTCTATCCACTTCCAGCACTTCTTCCTGATTTCTTCCTGCACTAGAATCTGGTTTGTTCTCTCCCACAGTACGTTGTTGCTAATAGTGTCCGGCCAACGGATCTGAAGTATTTTGCGTAGACAACTGTTAATAAACACTTGTATCTTCTGAATGATGGCTTTCGTAGTTCTCCAGGTTTCTGCCCCATACAGTAGAACTGTCTGGACATTTGTATCGAAAATTCTGACCTTGGTGTTGGTTGACAGTTTGTTTTGAGTTCCAGATCTTCTTATTACATTATCAAAATTCATCAAAGGGACTAATTTCTTTAAATTTGAAAGTACTTAACTTTCTCGCAAAGCAGAAATGTAATTTATGGTTCCAAACTCTTTTTCATAAATAGTTAACCAGTCATTATATTAAGATCATTTCAAGTCATTATAATTATCAATTAGGACTTTTATAGATGATATTCAGAGAAGGCATTACTCTTTAAAAAAATAATTTTCAATCTAAAATTATCTAATTCTATTCTTAAGTAAATCTAACCAGTCAACTAATCAGGTAACATTTAATTATATTGTGAAATAGTTAAAATTATAATCCTATTGTTAGCTGATTACTTCTACAAATCATTATTTATGATTGTCCTGGAGATTATAAAATATTGTTTCTTTTTAATTTCCACTATATAACCTAGTAATACAATCTTTTCTTTGAGTAATGTTAAACTTTCTTATATATATATATATATATATATATATATATATATATATATATATATATATATATATTTTGGGAATAAAAGGGATTGAAGAGTGTAACCATTTCATCAGAAAAACTGGGATAAATGTGTTAAGTATTTTTATGACACTGACATATATTCGCATAATTTATAAAAAAAATATATGAGTGATTGAAGTACTTAGAGTGAATTTGATGCATTACTACTCAAGTTCATTATTCACTTGTGATATTGGCTTCTGTATGTTATTCAGTAGGGTTTTTTTAAGCAGTTGTACAATTATTGTGTAAAAGTTTGAGAAGTAAACTATTAATTAGGAGTTTTGAAAAAAAGTCGTATTAATATCACAAATTAGAGTGGTTAGAATAATATTCACATGTGACTGCTCCACTTAAGGCGAACGCGAGATATCCGACTATCAATTAAAGAACGACCGTACTGCGCAGTAATTCGTTGTATTCTACTTTACAGCTGCGAAACGTGACCATTAAGAGTAGAAGATACCCCTAATCTACTAGTATTTGAGAACAGATGCCTTATAAATATTGCTCGCATCTGCTGGGATCACCGGGTAAGTAATAGTGAAGTTAGACACAGGGTATTAAGGAATGATGGTAAATCAGTTGATAAGATCGTGAATCTTCATCGACTGAGATGGTTAGGTCACGTGTTACGTATGCATGAACACCGATTACTACAACGCGCAATGCTGACTAGTGTTGGGGACGGTTGGAAGAAAGATAGAAGCGGCCAAAACAAAACATGGCATCAGTGTTTGAAGTCACTAACTTCTGGTCTGAGCCATGTTGGTAGATGCAGACTACTTGGTTGGGATCTACGTGAGTATCGAACCAATGGTTGGAGACTCCTGATGACATGGCTCAGAATCGATCACAATGGCGTATGTGTATACACTTTTTGTCTTCCCTTGAACCGTCGGATCAAAATTACTTTATATTTTTTTATATATTATTACCATTGAATTAACTAATTCTATGAATTTAGTGTTCATCATGTTGTGCTAATGAGGTGTGGCATCTTGAACCGATGCATATATGTGGTTGGTCCTATGTTGTAGCTGACTAACTGACTGGTTTTAAGGTGAGAAATATGTTTTTTCTTCAAATTACCTTTAAACTATTGTCTTGCTAGATTGAAATAAAAGTAATTTTTATCATTTCAATAAGAGCTCATTAGTCATTAGTTGAGATAAATTGAGACTAAAAATACCATTGTTCGCTTAATATATATCTATGTTAAATAAATAAGATTTCAGTTACACGAATAATGTCTAACTTGGTCTATCCAGATAAATATAACATACTATATTGTGGAATATGAATTCAATCCTAGGTAACTTAGAAATCATGTGTTCATCCCAGTGTGGCGTTATAATTGAGAGTCAGATGTTTAACACATTCTAGTTTTCAATGGCTTGGCATTAGATTTCAGTACTCGAGTTTAATTAGAGATATAAAAATCATTTTAGTTAACCATAATCTTTCTTACAGAACTGGAATATTATACACCATGTGTACTCTATATTTTCTTACAAACATCATTGTTTACTCATAAACAAAAACTGAACTTTGAGTATTTTATTTTCTCAATATTTTGTATTTAGGAATTTGTTTACAGTGTATGAAGTCAACAGTTGAAGATCTTATAAGAGAGGTAAATATTTATTTTCTAAATTGTATTTACTTATTATTGTTTACAGGTTGTATTCAGCTGATAAAAAATCTCATACAATTAAATCGATGCAATTCATTCTGCAAATATTATTATGATTCGATTATTGAAGTTGACTAAAGAAACTGAATTTACAAAATAAGTTAGTCACGTATAAGTGATTATTTTGAATAATCATGTGATGGAGCATTTCACTTGACAAATAGAATTATGGAGAAAACAAAGAATTATTCTTAATATCAATTCCCCCCCTCCCGAAAAAAAACATTCTCAACGAATAGATCATTGAATAAATAATCCAATAAAGAGACACTTGAGAAATATTGTGAAATTCTTCAGAAAAAAAAATACACACTAGAAGTTCTATCATTAGATGAATGGAAGTTGAAAAACTAACCTCATTCGTTGATGTTCGTATGATTAGTATACATGGTTGATTTGATGCATGCGGTGAATTCGGTATAAGAGTATGTTTCATTTTTGTATGAATAGTACTATGTAAATTATCTTTTGAAGATTCTGTCAAACTAATGGCACATCGACGATATAACGATCGTAAACTAAATCCATGCATAGAAGTACTATAAGTTAATATCCAGTCTAAACCTTCAGCGTCAGGAGTTAAATTTTGTAAAAGCTAATTGAATAAAAATAAAATATAAATTATGTAATAATCTATGATGATACTGTAAATAAATATTTACCGTACAAAGAAATCAGCCAATTCGATAAGTTAATAAGCATAAAATGCTCAAAATATATAGAACTAAACTAAGCAAAATTCAAGGTAGCGATCATAGATAAATTCTAGATTTAAAAATGTATTACTTATTTGCATTAGTACGAATACTTTTGTAATAGAAGGTCCTAATGAAACGTGATTACTTATAATATATATATATATATATATATATATATATATATATATATATATATATATATATATACAAAATATACATTAGTTATCATTCATAATAGTTAGGCAGAAAAACGGATGCAGCTATCTAAAACAAACAATTTAACAAATTAAATAATCAGTTAATAAACTTAACTCCATACTTATCACTTATTATATTTCCAATATTTTAGCAAGTAGTTCATTTTTATCATATAATAATAACGTTTATTCAATTTATATTCTGTTGATTAAAGAGGAAGAATGTTAGATGGTGGTGGTTGGAGGTAGTCGACAAGAAACCCTGAACCCGGGTTTCGTGCTACTTGCCACTCGTCAGCAAGGTGTACCTGTAATCTTGAAGTAACTGGTGCTCCCACCATCTAATCTCAATAGATAGTGCCCGCAGTGTCGAGTCACATAGACTGGTGGCCACATTGCAACATGATTGATAGCATTCAATCTGCACTAATAAGGACTAAACACGCATGACACTGATCGCCACTCAGTGATCAATCTATTGTGATCCTCTTTAATGTCTCATATTAACTCGGCGCCCAAATACTGTGAAACTATTTGTTCAAATTTAAACGAAAGTTCTTATTTATATTCTGTTCTTTGAATACATCATTATTTCAAAAATTCCTTATAATTATCAATGATATTTTAATATGCTTTATAAATCAAATATTTTATCGAATTTTTCAAGAATTTAAAGAATCATCAAACAAGCATCTTTTTAAAATAGTTTCAATTCATGACATTTTAGTTTCATACATTTCTATTTCAATAACTGACTTTTATTCGACAAGCACATTTTCAACAGAATTATTTATCTCTTACTATGAATGAAATGAATTGGTAAAATTAAATTGGAACTATTATCAATAGTAAAAGTGAGTAGTTACCGATTAGACTGATTTTGAAAATGGACTTATTGACAAGTTAATTTAGCTCAGTAATAGCTCTGATTTCCCAGGGTATATTAACATACTTAGTTATTCAACTAGTCATGTCATTGGAAATATTTCTGATTGAGATTTGAAGATAAAACCAGTGATAAAATTATTAATTCATTTACTTCAGTTGGTTTAGTATTTCGTTATATTGATTGGGTGATCAACGTGGATACTCATTGATTCATACTGGTTCTAATTAACAGGTACAAGCAGACCTCATGAAACATAATGTTATATCATGGATTCAACTTAAGTTCAGAAGTTGGGCAAATTTTGTAAAATTTCAAGAATCATCCTATATCGATTTCATGATTTAGGCTAAAATAAATATTTTTGGTTGTAATTGGATAACTCTGCAAAAATTATGTTGAATAAGCGAATAGTGGGCAACTCTGATGAACATCACATGAGATTGACTGTTCTGATGAAAACTCGCAATAAGCTCTAACTCAACCAATATTGTTCCAGAAGAGAGCCTTCACAAGAGATGGTGGAGAAGATTTGTAGCTCAGGTGGATGATTTTGATAGAGTTTTGTTCTCTGAGGTGGATAGTTTTGTCGTGGAGCTTTCATCGTTCTTCTGAACGACATCACTAGCACAAACTTCGAGAAGAAGTGAAGTGTTTGAATTTCTCTACACATAGCTCAAAGCTTGTCCTGTAGACCTCGATGTTGATTCGTTCTTGCTGACCTTAAACATGTAACTGTTTACTTCTTTATTTTGGTTGTATCTCCTATTGGTTTGCTTTTGGTCCTATGTTTGTCCATAATGTTTTCTGATTGGTTGATAAAGTGGATCGATCTCAATGTGCTTGCTGAGTGACCTGGGTGCTAAGCTTTTAAAAAGTCTCTGGCGTTTTTAGAATTGCCTCTATTCTAGATCTCCACATTTTTCCAATTGGATGTGTGTCCATAGTTGTCCACATGCATTAATATAGGTGAGGATATGTCATGGTATTTGACCGCTAATTGATGTTAATGCAAGCAAAGATGAAAAGAGAGTCAAGTACATAAACAAACAAAAGGATTACCCTTCTATATATAAAAGGCATGTCAGAAACTACAACGAAATCGCTAAAGCCTTTCGGAAAAGATGTAGCACACAAACCAACAAGAGTACTACAATCAAACCTATGCGAACCAAAGAAAGAAATGGCAAAACGAAAGGAACTGAACATCATTTACAAAATAAATTGTGCCAACTACGAAAAACACTACATCGGTGAGAGCGGATGATGTTGCTCAGATGAACAACGAAAGCTCTACAACCAAACCATCTAGCTCAGAGAACAAAACTCCATCAAAAAATGTCTTCATAAAGTTTGTAAGCTTCTTGTTTTACTCTTTACTGATGAGTACTACTACTCAAACGTTTTGGTCCTTTCAATGAGAAAATTATGATTTTTTCTTAAGTTTCTATTGATAATTCTCATATAATAGGATGTCATTAAAAGGCTACTACATTAAGTTATTTGTCTTGGAAACAAATTTAGTGTTTTTTGAAAACGATGGTAGATTATCTCAAACATATATGCATCTAGTGTATATTCCGACATCTACAGTCTGTAAAATATACTGTCCAGATAAAATGTTATGTATTTTCATAATACACATCTTAAGATATGATTTTACTCGTTAGGAAATCTCATTAAGCGAAATAAGGCTTGAAATGGAAACTAAATAATGATAAAGCATCATAATGTGACTTCATGTAACCGATTTCCAACAATTCAACCATCATATTTTAGCTAATTTTCTACAAAAATATGGATTACATCATTATTCTTAACCAACAGTGTAACACTTAAAACTGAGTACATAAACCTGTACATGGTAGATGAAATAAAGTAATCACTTATTCTGTATGTACATATATTTACTTACATCACGAACTTTATGTACATCAAATATTTCACTGTTCGATGTTGCAGTAGGTATTGGCAATAATTCTGGTTCTGCCAATTTGATACAGTCAAACATGAATTGTTTTCTTTTTTCTTCTTCTAAATCTTTCAATTCCAATTCTTTTGAACTAACCAACTTGTGTTTTATAAGAAATATACAGAAAAAAAACATTACAATATTAGAAATGTGAAGCAATTAGCAATTTGATTAACAGAAAGATTTAAGGATAAAATCATTAAGTTCAAAACGCAAATTTCCTAGTGGTACACTACACCTATCAAACTGTATGATTTTGACTCAGTTAACTAAAAAAAAAGTGAACAGTAATATTTGCGTGATCCGCAAAATATTGACTTGATTCTGTGTGAAATATAATAAATCCACAAGCTTGAAGAGTTTTAAACAAGGATAAATTAATTGCTTAATAAGTTACAGTCTTTAACCGTTGAGCAGTTAGTCTTATTTCTAATGAAAAAAATATTTTTGGATTGTATATAGTTCTCAACTCACTAGTTAAGTAACTAAAAAGAAACATTTTACCTTAATCTAAGTTACGGATTCAAATTTAATCATTGCATACGTAGAGAAGATTTGTAGCTCAGGTAGACGATTTTGATAGACTTTTGTTCTCTGAGCTATATTTCTGGTAAAAGTCCTGAAGTTTGAAGTTTGTGCTGAAGATGTCGTTCAGAACAATAAAACTCATTATAATATGTGTGAAAAAAACATTGAGTTAACTAACTATTACGTGAGCTCTACATTTCATTATCGTAAATATCAACCTAAATATAAATATAAATGGGAAGATACAAGTCAAACAATACCAAGTGGATTTAAATTCACCCCATTGCACAAGCAAGTGGCTATCAGGACTCAGTAGCTGAGTGGATAACGCGATGGCGTTTGAAGCGAATGGTACTGGGTTCGAGTCCCGAAGTGAACATCAACTCTAAGATGTGGATACATCCATCTGACGAGCCCCAAACAGAACGAAACGCGCATCCTGGATTCCACTGCTGGCCACTATCCATCGATGAGACTAATGATTTCAGTGCTAAGCAATATGTTTTAGGTTTCACAATTATGTAGCATTTGGATGTATATACAAATTGTTGACAGGAACTTAGTAAATCAAGTATGAATGATAATATCTTTTGTTTCATTATTTTCTATTATATCCACGTTATCAGTATGTTATAAAATTATTATCTATAGTGAAACCCAAACAAGAGAAAGTAATAATCAGTAAAGATATAATCAAGAAAATGGTTAGAGTTAAAAAATTGTATAGAAATAGGATGGTGAACATCAAATAACAATAATGGAATTATGAAGAGAAATAATGAAAAAACAAACAAACTAAAAACAGGGCTCAGTTACATATTTATTACAATAAAACTAGTTTCTAATCTCTAGACGATTAAGTTTTCAATAATGTTAATAATACTATACATACATACGTCATATATCAATTCTAATTCCATCTATATTATAATTGGGAAATATAAATGTAATTAGGTCAATGTATCTGAAAAAATGATTATCAGAAGTTATCATATAAGATACATTGATTAGTATTATATGTTAGTTATGCATAATATAACAATCACACACAAAATAATTAAAACAATACAACTGAGGTAAATGTATGGGGATAACTATGAAATTATGATTCACTTGATGAAAAATATTTCCCTCAATAAATCGAATTTATGTATTTTATATTCAATAAGTTGAATGACTACTACTCAATGAGTTACCATGTTGCTTATTGTTAGTTACTCGGATACAAGTTAGAAGTAATAAACAAATTGAGTTTATTGATAATAATCAATAAATCAATAGTGTTACTCTTATATTTTCAGTCTTTGCAAAATAAACTATTTTTCATAAGTAGTATCAGTAAAAGAAAATAGTATCCACAATTTTATTGGTCTCTTTTGTACACCTAAAACATAAATAACCTCGGTTTTGAAAAGAAAACACCTCACATGAACATCAAATTTCAGGGTGAAAGAGCTATAGACTTCCTAAAGAGTATTTCTGAGTCTTTAAAAAGAATGTTCTTCGCAGCAACGTTGCGAATTGTGTTCTCCAGCTGATCAATGTTCATCAATAATCTTATGGAGATATCATCTCATCTCACCAACTCTATGTGTACCAACCAATTTATGTGCTCATATGGAGCCTGGTATTACAAGTCGTTCGATGCGTACTTTATCCAAAAGAATTCAAGAACATTACTGGAATTTGGCTGAAAAGAGGTGGAAACGGCTCAAAAAGAAGCTCTATAATGGAACACTTTGTGAACACAGGTCATTAAATCACGACAGACTCTGCGTTCAAAATCATCTACAAGGTAACTGAAAGGCCTCTAAAGGCAGTTATATTGCATCTTCTTAACATTGTCGAAACATTAGCTAAACATCTGGGAAAAGTAGAATTTTGTATCTAAAGGAAATTGGTATAACCTCTTCTTCTATCATGATCTTAATGTCTGATAATATTCCTTCTTCTTTATACTTTTCTTCCTTTACAGCCAGTTGCTTCCCCCTCCATCTTCTCCATAGATTTTTTACTCTCAGTTGGCTTATTTCTTTTTCTTTGGTCCTCGCGAACACATTTCATCTCAATTTCAACATTTTATCATATCATGCTAAGCCATCTTTTCCCAATTATACTTTATTTATCTTCATGATGAATATTTAAGCCTTTATCAATAAACCTATTTATTAGTTTCCCAGATTCAGTCAGTAACAATGTAAAACTTCGTACGTAAGTACATCAGTTCGAGTTGCCACACCACATTAGAACAGAGATGCAGTTGACGATTTAAAAATCCCATAGTGGTAGAGGTAGTAAGAGTATAAGCAGTAATCGGAAACATTAGGGTTTGGAGATGTTATTTAAAGAATATAATCTAGTGAAATAAATTTGGGAAGAGAAAAAAAGAGACAAGGAGGAATCAGGAGATTAGAATTTGGAAGAACACAAAGAGTGGATGCACCAGTACCACTGCAAACGATTTTGAGCCATTTCATTCAGGGTCTCTAACCATCGATTGCTATCGTCTCGCGGATCCCAACCAGGTAGTTTAAACCTACCAACATGACCCAGATTTAAAAAATATTTTTATTACTTTTGTTTATTCTACCTCATTGTTACCATGTTTAATATAATTTTATAATCACTATTATTATCATCCTGAAAAATAGGCATGTATTTATGCGATTGTACAACTTTGAAAATAAATTCACCGAGAAGAGAACTCTTCATTCAACCAATCTTTCTTGTGTTATAATTACCCTGATGGACATCTAGGATGCAGTTGGACGATCTGGACTTCGCAGATGATCTAGCCCTTCTATCCCAAAGTCAACAACAAATGCAGGAGAAGACGAACAGTGTAGCAGCAGCCTCAGCAGCAGTAGGTCTCAATATACACAAAAGGAAGAGCAAGATTCTCCGATACAACACAGCATGCACCGATCCAATCACAATTGACAGAGAAGATTTGGAAGATGTAAAAACCTTTACATATTTGGGCAGCAACATTGATGAACAGGGTGGATCTGATGCAGATGTGAAGGCGCGGATCGGCAAAGCAAGAGCAGTATATCTACAACTGAGGAACATCTGGAACTCAAAGCAACTGTCAACCAACACCAAGGTCAGGATTTTCAATACAAATGTCAAGACAGTTGTACTGTATGGGGCGGAAACCTGGAGAACTAAGAAAGCCATCATCCAGAAGATACAGGTGTTTATTAACAGTTGTCTACGCAAAATACTTCAGATCCGTTGGCCGGACACTATTAGCAACAACGTACTGTGGGAGAGAACAAACCAGATCCCAGCGGAGGAAGAAATCAGGAAGAAGCGCTGGAAGTGGATAGGACACACATTGAGGAAAGCACCCAACTGCGTCACAAGACAAGCCCTCACATGGAATCCTCAAGGCCAAAGGAAAGAAGGAAGACCAAAGAACACATTATGCTGGGAAATGGAGATAGACATGAGAAAAAAGAACAAGAATTGGATGGAATTAGAAAAGGCCCAGGACAGAGTGGGTTGGAGAATGCTGGTCGGCGGCCCATGCTCCATTGGGAGTAACAGGCGTAAGTAGGTAATTAAGTAAGTAATTATCTTGATCACAAAAAAAAACGTTAAATTAAAATAGCCTTTTTATTACATAACTATCAATTTTCAGTGAAAACTGAAAAAAAGGAATAGGCATTGAAATGTATGTAGCTTTTATCCCGAAGTTTCGTATCATCAACAAATGACAAACTAAACAGGAAAAAACAAACAGTTTTTTAAGAGTGTAAAAAAAAACAGAAATCATAATAAATCCAGAATTCAGTTAGTAATCACCACAAATTATTGTGTGTCAAATGATGATTTAATTAAAATGAATTGTGAATTAGTATCAGAAGGGGTTTTGTGGAGATTGTCGTAATTTCAATAGTTGAGATCATGAGTCAATTAAAGCTAGACCACCATGGAAAACCTGGAAGCACTGGATGGCCGTTTCATTCCGCGCGGCGAATTCGTGGATACGCAATGCTGAGGAGTCCCACAATAGAACGAAACGGTCTTCCAGTGCTTCCAGGTTTTTCGTGGTGGTCTAGCTTTAATTGACTCATGATCTCAACTATTGAATTGTGAATTACTTAAACACAACTGAAAACTACCATGGAAACTAGAATGAATCTGTTTAAACATTCTGTGTTTTATTATAATATTTTATCTTACCAATTTATTGATATTATTCAGAAGAGTACGAAATGGTGATGTTAACCACTAAACAAGGAATTAGTTAGTTTAAAAAAATTATATATAAATGACTTATATGGAATTGAATACGAATCATCTCGTGATGAAAGAAGATTACTCGATTAAATGTATAGTTGAATGAAGTGTTCTATTTGTCAAGCTAATGATAAATGATTTATTGAGTGAAACGGCAAATGATTGAACAAAATTATCATGTTCAATATGTAAGTGTAGTGAAATTCGGGATGTTGTGCAACGATCCAGTTGAAAGTGTAGATCATGGGAGTTTAACTCAGTATTCTCTAAATAGCTTACTGGTTATTAAATCTGAAGCTCCCACGTTCGAAACCTTAGAGAATTAAGGATACACGCTGCTGCGAAGCCTTACACGAAATCCAAGTAATTGTCAATTGTTTCCATGTTTTTGGTGGTTCCTCATTCAATTTTGATCTTTGACGAAAAGCAAATTTCAGACAATCGAATTTTTTCATGATGAACACAAGAATACTTATTACTAAGTATGGACATTGGATATTTAGTTAGCGATGGAAGTATTAATAAAGAACAACTACTTTTCAGCTGTAATATCATGATTTAAAAGTAATTAAAATGAAGTTTTAGAAACTAAGGAACTTACTTCCCAGTTGACAGTTTCACGTTTTAATAGTTGCAATGCAGCTTTTTCTTCTTCCATAGAAGGTATACTATCACATATTTCCACTGTTTTGCTTATATCTGTTGTATCCGTAAGGGAAGAACTATTCGTTAACTGTTTTAAGTTCTGTGATTCTTCCAATTCATTTGACTGGAAATTTTGCTGACCGTGTTCATTCTGATAACTAGATATTCTTGGTGTGTACTTTTGTTGATTTTTCAAAATTAATAATGTGCGAGAATGATCATCTAAAATGCCGATACGCGGTAGGACCCAGTCGAATGTGTTTGGGACAACTACAAAATGACAATGATTATGATGTCGATGAGTATGCTTGTGATTATGATGACGAGGGAGTGTCTTCTCAAATTTACCAACATCATCACTGCCACCATCATCCAAACAGAAACGTTCACTCGAAACTGGACTGACAATAGATGATTTGAAAAAATTTAAATTTCCTAATGATTTCGAATGAAGTTTGCTAGTGATTGTGTTTATTTTATTCGTATCCTTGATTTCAGTACTTTTAATCGATAATTGACTGACCTTCATATCTGTGCCCTGTTTAACATCATCCTCGTATCCATGAAATTGACAAGTTAGAAGGAAGTCAAATAAACTTTTCGATCTGTTTTAAACATAAGTTTAGGGAAAAAAAGGAAAGAAAGAAGTGTTCACTGCTCAACTGCTAATGAAAAACTATCCGAATAATAAAAATCTATATTGATTACTAAACAGTTTCTGACTTATCAGTCAATCCAGCTGATAAATAATCAAAAGTAAATGGTACTGTTCGGCTGTTACTCCTCATGGAGGAGCATAGGCACGTCTGTCATAAAAAAATATTTCTTTAGGAAATTCATGTCCACATAGATTAGTTAGTAATACTAAGCCAATGATAAAAAGTAATTCAAATTTTATTCGTGCCTATTTCAATTAAAAATAATGTGTATTCACTATTAACTTAATAAAGTGTTTTTCTTTACCATCTATACAGAGGAATGAATTCACATATAAAATTAATGTATTACATGATGAAATAAATTAAGTAATATATTCAAACATATAGTAACTTACATGTAATGTTTTTATATTAAAGCTATTAATATAATATCAAGCATTCATTTCATTCCTATTCAAATTTTGTTGATTAGATATACAAACATTCTAATATTTATATTTACACTACTAGTCAACTTAGTATCTATAGCTACAAACCCTAGTAAGTTATCAACCTGTAATAACTTAATTCGTATAGTAACTAAAGTGTCCAACGTGTATGATATTTATTCTTCATAAAAGTTTTTGCTTTTCTCATTTTTCATATTCAGGACTAGAAGTTGATTTTTGTTTTCTTGGATGCAATTTCATTAGGCCAGGGAAGTCTTATTCACTACCTCCTCGCGACAGGGGTGTTGTTTACGAACTTGGGGGAACGAAAAGTGAATTTCTGATGCTTTAACTGGATTGGTGGACACGGAGAATCTACCTAGGGGAGTTAAAAAACCCTGATTCTAAACCAATGGTGCATATGGGATCCAGGATCCTATGGGAACAAATGGCATATTAGCCTATTGTTGGTAACCAACTACCATGGGACTGCATTTCCTTACGTTGCTCCTCTGTCTTGTGGAACAGGACTTTAGGTCAAATGCTCAGAGTGTGGCCTCTTAAGAAGACAACCTGCTTCGATTTGGGCTTTCGAGAAGTAACCCAGCCTTCACACAAATCATTCGATTTGTGTGGTGCAGATATATTTGCTGCCTTCATTGTACCAATTCCTACGTGTTAAAATAAAATAAGTATTCAGATAAGAGAACATAAATGAAATGCAACATGAGACCTAGATTCAACTGCTAGCTACAGTTTAAGAATATAATAAATTCTGTAATTGAAATTAGTATAGAGTTATCTACTCAGAATTCATGACATACTAACGGAGACTAACAAAAATTTAGATCTGAATATCGACTATCAAGAAACACGACCTCTTACGAACAATTTGAATTATTTTCAGAATTGTTCAAAGTTTAGTTAAGGTTACTTAAAAAAATGTAGTAATACACAACTAATTCACTTAAAGTTAGAAATTCAAGATGGAATGACAATCAAGTAGCATCTCATTATAATTTATATTTGACTTAGTTTCGTAATAATTTAATCATTCAAAATATCTAAGAAAGATTTCAAACAGTATCTTTTTTGGAATGGTGATTTATGAAGATTGTAGTAATTTTAATGGTTGAATACATGAGTCGATGTAAGTTAAACCACTATTGAAAACCTGGAAGCAGTGGACTGCTGTTTCGTCATAGTATAGGACCCCTCAGTAAATCAGAAAATAATGACATAATGTCGAATAAATTACGATTACTTTTCATTTGGTATTAAAAACCAATATTCTTCTGATTGAACTGTAAACCAATATGGATGTCTTCTATGTTTGTTATTTTCAACTGAATTAGTAGATGCTAATATACATAAATAAAATGGATTATCATCTAAACAAAAGGAAAAAAAACATAAATGAGAAAAAACATTGTCATGCATAAATGTATATGCAAAGGAAATCTTACTAATATATTACTTATAACAATATGATCATTTGCAAACAGAATACATGTAGTATACAGAATAACGATGAATTCAATTAATTGTGGATAGACAGAACATTTTAGTTGAAGAATCATTTGCAGTCCAGGTATTTTAAACTGTGAAGCAAGAACTCTTGTATCTTCAATGAGCAAAAGCTAAGATGTTTATATTCATTAGGTTTATTTGAATCTTCCTATTGATGTTTGGGACTGGGACTGGGTTCGAGTCCTGGAGAGAACATCAACTCCGGAATATACGTACATCCAGCTGACGAGTCCCAAATAGGAAGAGACAAGCGTCCTGGATCCTACTGCTAGCCACGATCCATTTTTATTTATAAGATTTCTGTTTCAGTGAGTAAATAATATCATAGAATCGGGATGAGTTGGAATCCAGTAATCGTTATTTATAGCGTCACTTGAAAAGCGATTTGTTGAGCAATGATCATACAGTGTTTCTAACTAGCATTTGGCCTAATTGATTCTAAGAACCATGGTTTTTCCATCAAAAGTATTACTGGTTTGGTTCTATAACAGCAAAGTTATTAAAGTCAACTTCTTACTTTAATGACATAAAGTGTTTAAATCATTCACCTGATAGTTTGATGGATGCGATACATTTTACTGACAGCTTTAAATTTTAAAATTACTAAATAAGGTCTTCTGATTATATTAAGCAACTTCGAAAATCAGAAATATATTTCTATCATTTATGTGTAAAGATACATTTTGACACATGAATAATATTAGAAGTAATTTGACCAAACTCCTGAACATAGTTGATCAATTTGTTTTGATATCTTTGTTGCTCTTCTAGTAACTACAGTATTTAGTCTGACGAAATTGAGTTAATGTTTTTAGTTGCGAAGGGGCCGTAAAATCAATAGAATATCCGTTGATAAACAAGGGATTACTATTGTTCTGATTTAAAACGACTTCGAATTTATTATTTTCCGATTCTTTATATTTTTCATGAGAGCCTTATTATGGGGTCTATGTAATTTAAGGATTTGCACAAGAAATTAATTTACTGAAATTTGTGATACACAAAGTGGACAGTAGTTGATGAACTGTTCCTAATTTGAACACACGCAACATAGAGTCAATAGATTTCCTTCACAAGTCAAGTAGATAGATTGCATAGAAACCAATTCTGGCATTTATCAACTATAATAAGTTGTAATGTAAATTGCTGAAGAATCCCAACTAACATAAAACCCATGTTCAGGGTCACCCTAACAACTACCGGCAACTACTCAATTTTATTAAAATAAATCCATTAGAAAAAATGACACGTGTGTATTTGAGATTTAAGTTACAAATAATACTCGAACGTAACACAAGAATTATGTGAAAGTGGAATTATTCAAGCATAAAATGTGTTACATGCTTCGTTTAATCTGAATCAAATTACAAAACGAATAAGTTGCTTATAGAAACTTTAATTTCAGTTTGTTAACTCCAGCTTTTACTCAAAGATTCATCATCCAAACAATAATTTAAGTAGATTCCAAGTTAATGATTTAGTAAAAAAGCTATCAAGTGGAATAAACTGAAACAGGAAAAATAGTATGAGAGTATACAATGAGTGTAAAATTTGCATAGTTTGCTTTACTAGATGACCTTATTTAGACAACCATTGACAACCAGGGAGAAACGGATAGTTGTTTCGTCATCCTATGGAGCTCGTAAGCAATATGCATTAACGACCTCACTTAGAATCGAACCAATGACCATTGTTCTTGATTAACCTCTAGACCACTGAGCCGCGATTCAATGATTTACAGGTCTAACTTAGCGATTCGTGAAATAGTGCAACCGTCTTACATTATCATCCATGTGGTACATTGTTGAGAAATCTCGTACTAGGACAAGACAGCTGTCCAATACCTTTTCGTTTACCACAGGGATTGAATTAAGATTAGCCTTTAATCTAAACTATGAAATATACATTACCCGTAGTTCGTAAATTATCAGAATGTTCTTAAACTGAAGTCGGAGAAACAGGAAAATGTAATATCTTATCCAAATTTTTTTTTATCCAGAGGAATAGCAACATTTCGAATACTGGAAATTATAGATTCAGTAAACCATTCTTGTTATTTTTAAATTGGCATTTTTAAAACTTGATAACAGTTAAATGTTTGTTCATAACGTATGATCCAACTTATGAAACAAAAAACCCCGATAATCAAACATTATAAGCAACGATGGATAGTGTAATCCAAGAAGGTGCGTTTCGTCCTGTTTGGGACTCGTCAGATGGATGTACCTGCATCTCCGAGTTGATGTTCACTCTGGGACTCGAACTCAGTACCGTTCGCTTCAAACGTCATCGCATTATTCACTAGGTACTGAGTCCTGATAGTCACTTGCTTGCGCATTGGGGTGAAGTTTAATTCACTTGGTATTGTTTTACTTGAATATTTCCATTGATGTTTTAGGACTGAAATTGATCAGTCTTTTATTGGCATACGCACAGTATGCACATATGCCAATAAGAGACTAATTAATTTCAGTCCTAAAACATCAATGGAAATATTCAAGTAAAACAATACCAAGTGATAATCAATCATTTTTCACTACTTACAAGTATTATATTACAAGTAAAATAAGTTTCTACTTGTATGTGAAAATGATATTTACCTTAGGGAATATCAGATCCTGTCGTGTTTTTTTTTGAATAAAACATTTTTATCATATAACAGAATTTGAATTTCATGATAAACACTTTTAAAAAAATGGGGATAATTACTATCAAAAAGAGTGAGGAAATTGTAGAATGAAACAAATTTTAAATGTATAATCAAGTCTTAGGATTTAACGCCAGTGATAATGAAACAGAGAAAGTAAAAAATCATATAAAAATAGCACTGAGTATATAGAGATTCGTATTTTTTTCATAACTTCAGATTATTATTTTTTATGTTTCCGGTGGGAACTAAATCATTTTATGAAACATATTTTTATAACATGGATTAGTAACAAATGAAAGTGAAAATTCACTGAAGCACTAAACAAGCGTAGGTTTTTCTGCAAACAGAAAACATAGTAACTGTTTATTTGTTCTAATTCTTTTCTCGAAGTCTACATTCTTTAAATAATAGACTGATTACATGTATGTTTAGAGAATATGATTTTGTAGAGGTTAATACTTCTATATCTGACGCCAATAAATGATATCCCGTTAACTGAGTATTTAGAGAGGCCAAATCTCCTAGTAGTATTATGAATTTACTCGAGATTATTCAAAGACAAAAACAACAGTTTTAGGGATAGTGTATTGTTTATAATTGGTAAAATCCACAAGCAACGCAGAAAGTGAACTCAGAGGAAAGTGAATGTGAGAGCAATGTGGAACGAACCGGAGAAAACATGTGAGTTAACTCGATTTAATCAAGTGTGAATAAATATTAATAATCAAACAAACATTAAGCTACAGACACATGATGCATAGAGTAAGTAATTAGCACACATATGATCATATAAAAACCCGTCAGGGTTAATAAGCGAATAAGTGACAGGGTAAAAATGTGCCTTGAGAAGAATGAGTAGATTGATTTGTCTAGAGGCTATAATAATCTATATAGGCTAGACACAGTGTCAGCCTCTAACACCATTTCATTTTGTTATTTATTAACACCATCACTTAGTTCATATTACACGACATCGAGTAATGTTTTTAAGTACTATTTGATCAGGTTAAATGAAAATTTATAGATTGAAATCATTATCAATAATTCATAACAAATTCCTACCTAAATCACATTTCTTCAAATTTGCAGCAGACGAACTATTATTTATATCATCCGTTGTAATCACATTTTCATTATCCTTTTGTTCAATATCATATTTTTCACTTGAATTCATTTCACATATATTTCCTTTAATTTCTATGGAATTTGACAACTTATCCATTGAATTATCCTCATTTTTTGTAATTATTACACAAGGTGTTTGTTCATTAGAATTTCTAATGTCATTAGCATTATAATCAATATTCACGTTGCTAGGACATGAAGTAGGTTGCCTAAGGTAAATATAGAAAAAAATAATTATAATAACATATTTCATACAGAATTAAGCTCACAATAATCAAAAAATTTATGTCTCATAGAAATTACAAAGGACAATCGTATATGCATAGTTTTAAGACCGATATATTACATATAATCAATAAAACATTTGACAGCTCTGTAAAGTATCAGTATATAAACTGTTAGTTGTTAGGTTTGATGTTCTCTAAAAGACATGATAATATCGTTGCATAGTTATTCATTTTTAGACTTATTTTTTTTTAAAATTGAATATGCCACGAGGTAAGCCTTAACTTGGAATCCTGAAGGGAAGCAGAAAAGAGGAAGGTCAAAGAACACATTACGTCGGGAAATCGAAGCAAATATGAAAAGGATAGATAATGACTGGAAGGAGCTGGAAAGGATTGCTTGGGACAGAGTTGGATGGAGAATGCTGGTGAGCGGCCTGTGCTCCTTCACGAGGGGTAACAGGTGTAAGTAAGTACTTAAGTGTAATATGAGTAAATGTAAAACACGCGAATAATGATTATACATCGACTGGAATCTTATTAAGCGAATAAATTGACAATATGTTTTAACATAAACTTAGATTAACGACAAGGTGTATATTTACTTTGTTCGTAGTTATTTCATTAAGGCATTTGTTTATATCTATTATAGTGGAAATTTATCTAGTCAAACTTTCTTTTAAATTGGTTTACGTTTTATTGACGTTTTAGCTTCAGGAAATGTACCAAAACACTTATATTCAGTGTTATTTCACATTTAATCAGTCTAGAAACATTTGTCGCTTTGTTAAAATTAACTCCGTCAGCTCAAATATTGCCAGAGGATGTGGGATTTTTAAAGGTCTGTATAAAAAACTGGTCTACAGAAAGTACAAAAGGCATATTATGGATAGGGATCAGATATCGAATCATGTTGCATTAGTCTGAAAAATAACTAGACAGAACTGAATTTTGTCCCATAAGCAGGAGGTCGTTATTGCCTTGATTTTAGATTATGTGTAAAAAGACTTTGTAGTTCCTTTGACAGAATCATGTGGCTACCATTATTTTCAGAAGAGGTTTTGTGGAGATTTCAGTGATTCTATAATTGAATTCATGAGTCATTTGAAGATAGACCACCATAAAAAACCTGGAATCACTGGACGACCGTTTCGTCCTAGTATGAAACTCGTCAGCAGTGTGCACCCATGATCTCGCAAGCGAGATTTGAACCCAGAGCTCAATAGTCTCGCGCGCGAACGCTTAACCACTAGACTACTGAGCCGGCATCCAACAGCGTTAATGTCTAACTTCAACCAATCCATAAAATTGAGCCACCGTTGTATTCTATGTGAACGACTAATGACCCTGATAGAGTAGAATTAATTCACGAAATCAAAATGTTTACAATTTACAATGAATTTTCCCTTTATTATCTTAAAGAGAGCAAAAACGATGAATAGGACTAAGTTTACGTCACTAGCGCAGATGTATGAAAATGAAAAATCTTATATATCAAAACGGAGTTATGTTGTACAATTCTTATCAGATGATGTCAGTCTCTTCTCAAAATCATCACAAAATTATAATCATCAAAATATTCAGCATAGTTACAGTTGTTTAATTAAATCTAAAACCCTTTTATTTCAATTCAAAAAATCTTCAGAAAGTAATTTGTATCGAATACATTCGTACAAATTATGTTCTGGGACAATAATTAAATTAATGAGACAATTTAATCATATTCAAAAAATAATCAACAAAAAGAAATTGAAAAATGATGTAAAATTGAAAAGCTTGAAGACAATTATAATTTTTTCCATTTCTCTTTCCTAATTTCGTTCTAATTTAAAACCAAGGAAAATTTTCAAAAATGTTTCTCTACACCCCCCTTTCTTTTTTTTCTTTTTTTCAATTTTTATTTGGTGCATCAGAATATTAATTAGTTTTGAGTACTCATCCATTTATATTGATTAATTAGCGTAACTAAGGAAACAAGCCGAAAATAGGGAAGTATATCATCGAATTAATGAAACGTATTTATTGGGTATGTGCTTAATAAGTTAAAATATATTACTTATTATAAAAGAAATAAATACTTTTAAGTAGATGAATGAAGTTATTGTCGGAAAAGAATAATATAGAATGTATCATTAAAAATAATCGTATAGTTTATTTATATTTATAAGAGATGCTAAAATAAAAATTCAAGGAGAATTAAGTGTATACACTTGTGGAGCTGTGGTAAAATAAATGTTCGGGAAGTCATACAATCATATATAATAGGGTTGTAACTCATTTATTAATATGAAAAATTAGTGAAACATTTAACAATAATCAATGTTATATTTTTCTGGATCTTATTTCTAGGTTGATTTCATAAACCAAGTTCTAATGTGTTTACTAGTTTAAGTAAATCGGGAATGGTTGGAATATGTTTATGCAATAAGGCGATTAGAAGCAATAGGTTTTGAAGCCTTGAATTGAGGTATTATTCTTAATTGTGCTACTCGTCAGTGAGGTATAAATAGTAACTAGATAAAGATAATGCTCCATGTATGATTTCAATCATGTGCAAAGCAACATTTTTTGTTGAGGTGCTACATCACAGATAACTTAAGTTAGGAAATACAATTAGTGAATTTCAGTAAATAATCATTGCAAATCTTAAACGTACTGCTTGTCGGTGAGAAGGTTTGGAAGAATAATGAGGCATTTTTTAGTAATAACATAGGGGTTCAACACAAATGGATAGTACGCTTTTTTTAACTATTGCGCAAACTTACGCTCCACGTTTTGTAAAATACATAACAGATGGATCTCTGTAAACTGCAATCGTACGAAATTGACTCAATGGAATTTGTTTACAATGATTTTCCAGTGGATATTGTTCTTCGTCGTATGGTTTAAACACAAACATATTTGTGGTTACCAAAATTATCCCAGGAACAGAACACTAGTAGAGGATATAAGTAGAGAAATATGTGAAAAGAGAAATCAATTAAAACATTGGGCAGAAGAAAAGATCACTTTTATTAATGAAGTTCTTGTAGTTTTACGTCTATGAATAAAACGATCTTAACCATTTTAAACCAGAAGTTATGGAAGGAAAGAAAGAATTTGGCTATTTGGTTATTAAAAAAAAATAATTAGTATAATAATTTTAATAGTTTTTTAGGTAGTTACTATGATAACAAAATGAACGAAATGGGTTGCGAGAAATGGGAATTAAAAAAGAATAATAAATGAATTTGATGTGAAAGTTAATGGTTATGATCTATGAATAAACAAAAGAAACAAAGCACATGACAGTATAATCTAAATTTGGTTGATATAATTCTGTTAGTAATACCTTACTAAAGTCATATCTGTTGAACAATATAGTAGCTGAGATTTAAAGACAATGTTAGTACAAATGGATTGTGGCTAGTAGTAGAATACGAAATGCGCGTTTCACCTTGTTTGAGGATGGTTGACTGGGTGTATCTGCATTCCACGTTGATCTTCATATGTTTATTAATACTGAGTGAAGGTTGGATGATTTAAATACAAAATGACTTCCACTTATAAGTAAATAAAATATATCAATGTCACAATAACATAATGTCACCAGCTATTTTCCACTAAATTCAAACTAAAACTGATTAGTCTATTGGAAAATGAATATAGAAATAAACATGTGCTTAACAGAAGGCTGTTACACACTGACTTTTTAAAAAAAAACAATTGGAGGGATGGCACAAAATATACAGCATAAACAGAGCCGATATCACAATATCCTGAGAAATTTCATATACTCACTCATTTAGAAGTGAAATACTAACCGAGATATACGTAAGCATGTTGTATTTGTACAGAGAAAATACTTTGACGATTGGGCTAAAATTATCTGTATCAATAATTCGAAATATGAATAATTTGAAAAGTTATATTAGTACTGATACACTTCTTACTTATTTTTGATACAGCCCTTAAATTATTACCTTTATTTCTCACTTTTTACAATACTGATCGCTCAACCACAGAATCTGATCTTAAAATTTACATTAGTCCATTTTATTCAAATAATTTATAACACGACAATAGTAAAATGTCACTGATAGGCTTCTAATGAAATAAGGATTCGACGAAAAATCTTCAGAGTGATCAGAATTAATTGTATAAATCTGATACTGACAAACATACATGTTAGAAATCAAATAAGTTTAAAGTCTTATTTGGTTATGGCTGGTTAAAACTGACAAGAGTTCGGCTGGAATAAAATGTAAGTGTGAATCCATTGGACCTAATCCATTTAGAATCAAATTTTACTCTGATAACTACTATTACGCCAAATATATTTCGTTGAATGACATCAGCAAAGTGATAATTGTATTATGCAAATAATAGTGCTTATCTGTATTATGGTATTTGTACACCGTCTAATGATTAAAAAAAGAATTCACAATGGGATCAGATATTCTTATTATAACCTAAGTTGCTCAAAGGTCGCAATGTCCCACGGTCTTAATATTATTCTAGTTTGACTGAAATGCCAGTGTAAGTATTAATACAATTCCTTGAGTAGATAATTTCAAATAATTCGAGTATTTTAAATAGTTTAGATCATGAGTTAAATGAAAATAGACCACCAAAAAAAACCTGGAATCACTGGACGGCCGTTTCAGTCAGTCAGTCAGTAACAACGTAGAACTTCGTACGTACGTACATCAGTTCGAGTTGGCATACCACATTAGCACAGAGATGCCGTGGTCGATTCAAATCCCGTAGTGGTAGAAGTAATAAGAGTATAAGCAGTAATCGGAAAGATTAGTGTTTGGAGATGTTACTTAAAGAGTATAATACAGTGAAATAAACTTGGGAAGAGAAAAAAAAGAAACAAGGGGGAATCAGGAGATCAAAATTTGGGAGAACACAAAGAGTGGATGCACCTGTAACATTGCAAACGGTTTTCAGCCATGTCATTCAAGGTCTCTAACCATCGGTTGCTATCATCTCGCGGTCCCCAACCAGGTAGTCTACACCTACCAACATGACTCAGACCACTTGTCAGTGACTTCGTGGATTTGTGCCATGTTTTGGTCTGGTCGCCCCTAGCTTTCTTCCAACCTACTCCTATACCACTGAACATCGCACGTCGACGCAGTCGGTCGTTGGGCATACGTAACACGTGTCCCAGCCATCTCAACTAATGAAGTTTCACCACTTCATCAATTGATTTGCCACCCTTACCTAGTACCCGTTTCCTAACAACTGTGTTACTTACTCGATGGTCCCATGATATACGAGCAATACTTCGAAGACACCTATGATCAAATACTAGTAACCTACGAATATCCTCTACTCTTACCGGCCATGTTTCACTGTCATAAAGTAGGACGGAATGAATTGCTGCGCAGTAAACACGTCCTTTGGTTGATAGACGGATATTTCGCCTACGCCATAAATGACGCAAGTTGGTAAAAGCTAGTCGAGCCTTCTGTATCCGTGCTGAGATTTCGTCACATACCAGACCACAAGGGATGATGAGACTTTCAAGATAAGTGAAGCGGTCGACACACTCAACTACTTCACTCCCTATCACTAGCTCGGGTGTCGATGCAACCCAATCCTGAAGCAACATTTTGCATTTCGAGGGAGAGAATCGCATCCCGAACATGCTTGCATTGTTGCTTAGAGTGGTCAGAAGACTCTGCATTTTGTCAGCGTCTTCACCAAATAAAACTATGTCATCTGCATATTCTAAGTCAACAAGTGAACCTCCCGGTAGAAGTTCAACCCCCGGAAATTTAGATGAGGAGAGTGTTATCTCTAAAAGTACGTCGACCACAAAGTTGAACAAGAATGGAGAGAGTGGACAGCCCTGACGAACACCACTTGAGGTAATCAATTCTGATGACAGTTCGCCATGAGCTCTCACTCTACCAGTTGTGTTCGAGTAGAGAGCCTGAATAATGTACTTCTTTGGTACTCCTTTCAGTGACAAACATTGCCATAGAACCTCACGATCAACACAGTCGAATGCCGCCTTAAGGTCGAGAAGTACTACCATTGTGGGGTGCCTGAACGTGTGTCTGTGTTCTAGAACCTGACGTAGTGTGAATATCTGATCTATACAACCACGTCCAGGTCGAAAACCGGCCTGGTTTTCTCTAGTCTGCTCTTCACGAGCTTTGATTGGGCGTCGAAGTATTATTGAGGTTAATATTTTAGACAATATATTAGTCAAACTGATTCCTCAGTGATTGTCACAAGAGGACTTTTGTCCTTTCTTATAGACTGGCACAATCAGTGATTGAGACCAGTCAGATGGGATTACGTCCAGTTCCCAAATTCTACCTAAGACCTCGGTTAATTTCATTGCTAATACTGGACCACCATCCTTAAAAATCTCAGGAGTAAACCTCTCAGGGCCTGCTGCTCTCCTTCGTTTCAGATTTCCTATGGCTTTTTCAACTTCGTAAAGGGACGGAGGACTTACCCACCACTGTTCGCGATCATTGCGTAGACTTCTTGTCAGCTTGCGCTTAAACTGACTCCGCTCTTCACTATGTTCAGAGCCAAGTGGAATGAGTTTCCGAGCATCTATCAGTGCGATAGATGCTGCTGAGATCCAGTGTTGCTCCCTAACCTTCTGATTTACCTTACTAGCAGATATCACTGCTGTTTCCACAGCTTTTCGGATATCATTCTAAGCTGCATCCGGGTGGGCATCACATACATGGCTGCCTAAATGTTTTCCTAGTTGTTCCTGAAATGTACTCTTAGCTTGACTATCATTAAGTAGGCCCCTAAGAGGTTTCCCTGCAGCGTCTTTCCTACGTCCAGTAACACGCAAACAAATACGCGCTCGTACTAGATCATGATCTGAATCTAAGCATGTGCTCCAGAATGAGCGACAGTCTTCTATCGAGCCCCTCCATCGGTGGCTGATAGCGATGTGATCTAGTTGGGTCCAACGTTGGGACGAATTAGGGGGTCTCCATGTTAAAAGATGTTTTTCCTTATGCTTAAATTTAGTATTTGCAAGGAACAGGCGATTATCTGAGCATAGCTGCAACAGACGGTCGCCATTATCTGTTCTCTGCGCCACGACACCATAAGATCTACCTAGGTGTCTTTCCCTATCGCTTAGTTTACCTGCTTGAGCATTAAAGTCACCGGCCACTATTACTACATCCGAGCGCCTAGCTTTTCGGAGAAGGTCGGAAAGCTTTCTGTTAAACTCATCTTTTACATCATCTGAGCTGCAGTCAGTGGAAGAATAGGCAGAGGCAACGACGGGTGTCCCTATCTTTCCGGATTCTTACTGTTCCGTTCAGTCGGACAGCGCACAAACGGCTGTCTACTGGGATCCACTCTAAGAGAGCTAGTTCTGCTCTGGGACTCAATGCTATGCCTACGCCGGCGAGTCCACGGGAAGCAGAATCAGGGCTTCCAGGTGCACGAAGTGTGAATCGAGTCGGTTCTTTATTTTGACATCGTGAGGTCAAATGAATGACGCTACTTGGATCCTGTATGCGCGTTTCGGAGACGCAGCACACATCGATGGCGCGGGATTCTAAAGTCCTAGCTAAGGAAGCCTGCTGTCCTATTTGGCACAGTAATCGGACGTTAAAAGCTCCTACGTGTAGTTTAGAACGTGGTTTCAGAAGACCAGGAATAGAGTTCTGCGTACTCGAATCGTTTACCCTAGCGGTGCGAGATGATAAACAGACATGAGAAGGGTTAGTCATGGAGATAAGAGAGGTATTAGGTGTAGGAAGGATTTGAATGTGACCAACTTGGTCTCGTGTGCTGTTACGAGTATGAGGGCTGATGTCACTTCCCGGCTGCCCACACCGTGGAAGGGTATTTCTTGAGGAACCTGAAAAGGAAATTGGATTAGTGTTGGTCTTAACGACCTGGGAGCGTGACCGCAGAGCCCAAAGGACAACTGCTTGAGGCCGGTTGCGCACGGCCTTTTTGTGGTAGGTTTTTAACGTGTTAGCTCCGTTCTTCATAGGGCCTTACCGCCGGAGACGAAAATCCGTGAGGTAAGGTGAGGTGTGACATTTTTAGGGTCGACCTTTTCTAACCCCACCCCTCCTTGTGGGAAGGCAGCATCGCTGTCATGCTGGTTGTCTGAGGGAAACACCTTACTGCTGTCACACCTCTCTACAGTCAGCAGTACGACTTCGCCCTCAGACCTTGAGTTGCTGCTTTTAGTCTTACCGTTCACCAATCGACCGGCCTGGCATGGTAGAACCTACAGGAACATATGTTCCAGCCAATATAGGTCGGTTGGGTCATCACGATAGGCAAACCCGACCACCGCGTCAAGGTAGCAGCTTCGGTCGGGGACGGCCGTTTCGTCGTAGTATGGGTCTCTTCAGCAGTGCGCATCCATGATCCCGCCCCTCGGGGTTCGAACTCGAGACTTATCAGTCTCACGTGAGAACGCTTAACCTCTAAACCACTGAGCTAGCTGGAATCCAGCGGTGTTAATGTCTAACTTCAACTAATTCACGGAATCGAGCGACACATCCATCATTGTGTTTAATGAGTTACTATCACACAACGGACCTGGTTGAACTCCATTGGTCAATGCTTCTATTATTAAGTAAAATAATTATAATGTAATAATAGCAGTAATAAATAAATAATTCAATTGACTAACGTCAGAAATTCGACTTTTTGCAAATACTACTTTATTTTCCTTCTATGTACAAATCAATTATGCATTTTTACTTACTTGCAAATCGACAACAAATTTACAGTCAAACTTTAGATATTGACATGCCATTGGATCATTTTCTTCTTCTGCATAATCCTTTAGATAAAAGTATAAATGAACATAAAAATAGTGTTATATAAATTAATATTATAGAAATAATTTGATCCGATTGATGTAATTTACAATAACTAAATTTTCTTTAATGAAACGCCAGTGATAATGAGCTAAACCACCAGAGATCGAGTTTAATTATTACGGAATAATTAGTAAATAATCAAAATAATACCAATGGGAATACATCGTGCGATTAGAGAAAAAAACGAAACCAATCAGTAGAAAATTCGTATTGTCAATTAAATTCAACTAAACAACAATGTAAAACCGAGGAGCACTGAAACTCTATGATCAGTTATCTGATTGCTTCCTAATTTTCATTGATAGTCGATCTGACATCAATCTGTGCAGCAGGATTTCATCAAATATTACGAATTCCACAAACCGTTCATTCCAACATAAAACTTGATCAATGATATTAGAGACATGTAAGTATCAAGAATAGTAGTCATTATGGTAAACTTAAAAGGTAACAGGTGATAAATTTCAAATCTCTTGATTAGTTGTAACGTGTGAGACTGCAGGTTATGGAGCAGTGTATTTATCGATCGCCTCTGTGATACGTAAACACGTAATGAACGACCTAGAGTCCCTATTGATCCCGCTTCCCTGTCTATCACAGCCAGTTGAGTCCAGAACGCAAGTCACAGCCTCTGAGATATGAATCATTATATTTCAAACACACTATGTTTATATACTAACCAAGCAGACCACATCGTACCATAAAAATAGAAAACAACATTTACACAATATAAAGAAGTGAAGCAAATATCGACCAATAGGAAATATACATTTAACGTCCAAGGACAACATTAGACTTAACATGATAGCTATTGGGAAACAAGGTTGAAAATACTTATCATAGTACTGTAAGTAATCTTTAATGAATACTGTTTAAGAGTATTAGATATGAATGACATAATTAATTAGTATATTTGACGTTTTCATACATTTTTCATTGTTTATCGATTCATGATGAAATGTATTTGTAACTAATCAAGTAATTTGATATGATTAAAATGGATTACTTTCTTTTTTATAAATCGGTTCAACTATGTAGATACACCCTAAAGCATATTAAGTAAATAATGGTTATATTAACTTTTAAATTCTATTATCATACACATAGATACAAAGTTTTTCTTGATTATTATGACCTCAGATTTACCTTAACTGTCATTTCTTATTGAATAATATTCATAATGAGAAAATACACACACACACACATAAAAAAATAAGCAATAAACAATAGAGAAGCGTGACAAATTGAAAATAGTGGTAAATTTCTAATATGAAAACAAATCAGAAAAATGCCTAATTCAATAAAGCTTTATACATGATAAATTAAAAGAAAGAAATTAAGAAATATGTAAATAACTTAGTTAATTATCCATGGATCCATATTAGAAAAAAAGAAATAATAATAGTTCAAAGAATAAAATTTCAATGAATAGACAGAAAATATAGTCACGCAATTTAATATATTAGGTACATTATCATTATGAATGTCTATTTGAAAAAGAATCGTTTATTAATCATCACCTTTAGATCAATGATTTATATTGTGAACATACAAATAATATTCAAAGGAAAGATGTTATATAACTTATAGCAATTAAGATAGTACTGTAGTGAATGAGATCAGAAGTGGGGATAACCAAGTGAACCAATTGAACACTTCGTTTGCAAAATGTCTATTAATTGTTTCAGATTTCCATCTTCCTTCATTTCCATACCAATCACTTGCTGTTTTTGTTCACTTTGCCGTGATCTTCTCAACCTTCTGACTCCAGGAATTCCACTATTGATTGGTGATAAATACTACTTATATCTGTCGACATCAGTAACACACACATACAGTACCATCTAGTGAACTGGTGAAAAGATTGAGTTTGAAATCTATCATAACTTTTAATTACGCGGTGTTTTGAACTTAGGTTTTGTAGAGCAAATTATTATTGAAAAAAAAAGATTGTATGATGAAGGAATGATGTTATAAATAACTTGGAACGGTTAAAATGTTAAGTGCTTAGAGTATCATTTTCAAATCTAAAAAATGTCACCATAAATATTACTATATGTACTTATCCACTTTGTAAGATGTAAAAGTGTGAATGAAGACTAATTCAGCCGTTTAATCACGTAATCCGAAGTAATAATAATATATGGCACACCATCAAAAGAAGCATAGTACACTATTATGACAATAAGTTTTCATTTTATAAAACTGCATACTGTAGTGTCAGTTGATATGTTAAGCCCACACAGCTTATTTTAGCTTCTGGACAGGCCAATTTATCCATTCTTGAGTCGCGTTTTGACCTTGTTAATCATTTACTTATCAACCCTGACTGTTTTTATATGAGCGTATATGTGTGTACACTTCTTATCCTATTCATCACATATCTGTAGCTTATTTTTATGACTATAATTACTGATTAATGCTTGATTAAATGGAGTTAGTTAATACACCTTCTCCATCGTGCTTCATTTCGCTTCACTCTCCTCTCTTTGCTTCTCCAAAAATCATGTAACCCTAAATAGTCGTTTCATTGTACTTTGAGACTTCACAATGATGCAAACATGCATCTCCACAAAATGGACTCAAGGAACCTCACATAGTTCTTTGCTAGAACTCGTTTTAGACAATTTCTCACTTGACATCAAGCCATGATGAAGGCTATTCTATGATTCAATATTACTTACAATACGTTTATGCTAACAAATAATAAACTTGTATAGAAGACCACAAGTATGATGAATCATACATACAAACTATATTCATATTCAATAAATCCTACCTTTCTAAAATAACTCGGACATAACAAATTTAGTAGTAACCATTAATGAATGAATGTCCGGCGTGCATAAAAAGAGGACGCAACGGCTCAATAAGAAGTTCAATAACCGAACGCCTTTTGAACACAGGTCACTCAATCAAGATAGACTCTGCGTTCAAAGTCATCTACATGGTAAGTAGAAGTTTCCAAAGACAATTAGATTGCATCTTCTTTGCATTGCCGAAGCATTAGCCATACATCTAGAAAAACCAGAATTGTGTGTGCAAAAGAGACTCGTACAACCTCTTCTTCTACCATGGTCTTAATGCCTTATAATTTTCTTTTCTTTTTACTTTCTTCATACTCTTCTTCCTATACAGCCATCGCTTCATCTTCCTCTTAAATCCTCTACCCCCAACTAGTTTTTTTGTTTCCACGATCATTTTGATTACATTTAATCTCAAGTTCAACGTTTTATCTTATCATACTGAGCCATCCTTTCCCAATGATAATTTCCCTATCTATCTTTGATGAATATTTAAGCCATTAACAATCAAACGATTATTAAACTTTCCTTGTAAAAAATTTCTTGACACCTTTGTTTATTTAACCTCACTGTCACCATGTCTAACAAAAGTTTATTATCAGTATTATTATCATCCTGTAAAAAATAAATATTTATATTTGCGATTGTACAGCTTTGAAAATGAATTCACCGAAAAGAGAACTCTTCGCTGAAGTAATCTTTCTTATTTAATGAAAAGACTTAATCTTCATAGGGGACACAAAAGTTCTTAATAACATTTTGTTTTAAAGAATCAGCACATAGATCAGATCAGTTTATGTAGAATAGCTGTAAAATATGAAAAAAACTTTACACACATCACTAAAACTCCATAAAGTTGTCACTATCTTTGAACGCTTTTAATTGATTGTCAAACGAATAATAAAATCAAATTGATAGATGATATATATATATGTATATATAACTCGTATGACATACTGTATATTCACTGTATGTAGACGATTCATCCAAATCATGTTCATCAGTATCTGTTTCATTGATTGATGATGTTAATGAATCGACTGATTGTAAAAATTTTGTTTTAATCTCTTCTTCAATAAGGCATACTTTAGGATCGTGAGGATTTTTTATTACATTTTCAGTTGTCATTTGTTCATTTTCATCCATATTTAAGTTGTTATCTATTTTTGTTTTTCAAAAATTAAAGAAAATAATAAATATGTTTTACTAGTACAATTAATATAAAATAAGGAACACGTTACTTTTTAATCTGATGGAGACAGGTAATGCTGTTTTTGTATTTCATTGCCTGATATAATTAGCTACTATATTTATATTTTAATGGATTACTTTTATTGATACATTAAAACAAACGATACATTTAAATGCTACTATTTTCAAATCCTTCATTAATAATAATAATAATAATAATAATAATAATAATAATAATAATAATAATATAAGTCTACTCATAGTCGTCACCAGACATACATGAGTTAAATCGTATAGATATAAGAGGATAAAATGAAGAGACAAATGCCAAATGCCTCAATAAGAGTAATATTAGAGTTGATGAAATAGAAACGAAAAACAAAAACTTGATATAAATGGTTTTAAAAAAGATGAGATTTATTAGAGAAATAAAAATTTACAAAATATCTTTAAAGATCAAATGATGATAGAATATGAACGCATCTACTATGATGTAACTAATTATCGATCATGTTAATTAAGGTCTATGACCTGTTTATTAAGATCCTCATTTAGAATTATATATCTTCAAATCTACTGAAAACAACCTGTGTTGAAAAATTACTGGTCATACAAATGTGAACTAAAAATAAGCATGTCAAATAATGAATTATAGTTGTATTCAAAGATCTTTTAACAGTTTACTTGATTATGTACTGATTATTGATTTGAAATGTTAGTCTAACATAGGTGGATTGATGATTTTAATCAAAGCTCAACAATTTCCATAAACTTATACTGATTTGAACTGATCTATGTATCATACAAATGAATTTTATCATTAACATGTATCCATTATTCAAATCAAATCATGAAGTCAGTGTACATCTTAAGGATCTGAATAATGACTGGTTTTGTACTTAAATTATATTTTCAAGTTGATGTACTGATAAATAATATTTTTTAATTTCATACATATAGAGTTCCATTTACAAATGATTGATCACTGGGTGGTGATCAGTCAAGTGTGATTGCATCTCAGTCCTCCAGGAGGTCATTCACGGCCAGGATAGCTCAGTGGTAACGTCTTCGACTGTGAAATGGTGTAACACGGGGTCGAATTTGTCAGGGAGCACCAGTTCCCACGTTACAGGTACATCTTGCTGACGAGTGTCAAGCAGCACGAAACCCGGGTTCAGGGTTCCCTGTTGACTACCTCTAACCACTATTCTAGAGTTCCTTTTATTGATCTGAAGATTTTAAAATTGGAGATTTCAGCAGAATAACTTAAATTTATTTAATTCCACTTGATTCTTATCAGCTGCTTGTAGCTTGGATTATTTTAAAATTAAAATCGTCTACTTAGTTATACAAATGAAATTGATTGGGTGTTATTATGTATTATCATGGTAGAGCAAATATCCTAAGTAAAGTTAATAAGACCAGGAAAATATATAACAAATGAATGTCATTTGTAAAAGAAGATTTATGAATATATAAAAAAGTTTCGAAGAGTACCAAACAACTAAAAATTCGTCGCCTACGTAATGAAATAACAGAACGGAGGTTCATGATAATTATCAATAATATGAAATGAAGCAAGTCAGTGAAACAAAAAGGATTAATTAAAAGGAACTCGTCAATGTGTTGGGCAGTAATTTTTCATTAAATAAATAGAATTTTTAAAAAAATTACTAATCGATCACTTACTATCGCTTTTTACACTAGATGCAACAGATTTACTGGATGATTCAGCGGTCATATTTTCTAGTTTTTCATTGATAGGAAGTTTGATCACTTGACCAACAAATAATGTTCGAGATAAGAGTTTATTGATACGACATAATTCTGAAGGAGTCAGATCGAATCGAGCTGCTACACTATTGAATGAATCACCTTCTTGTACCTATGAAAAAATTGTTAAATAAAATCCATTACTAAAGTAAAGATTATTTACTGGAAGCACAAAAATGTTTATATTATATCATAATTAATACAAATGATTGTTATACACCATTTTCCCTTAATTTATGCCACAAAGATTTTTTCCTCAATCAGACAATGAATGCAAAAGTTCTAATATGTTAGTCACTCGTTTTCTTTAAGGATATATTAGAAATAAAAAATATGCTATGAGATTTTCAGTATTTAGGGTAACGATAGTTTGTAACTCTTTTATAATACCGCGTAAGTACAAATATGTTTAAAATTGATAATTACTCTGTTCAAACAAACCTGACACAAAGATGTTTGGTACAATATTCGCATAGTTGGAAAACAGATGACTCAAATGTTTGAACAGGCGTTCAAAGAATATAATTGCGAGAGTTAAATGTTAGACCATACTAAACATTCCCTGTACCTATTTCACTCTGGAGAAATTGTGTTCTATTCTTTTAAACTTAAGTTTACAACTATTTGACTAGTGGAAAGGAAGAAAACTTCTATACAGTCAATTTCATTATGACGAAATCTACTTATATAAATTGCTCAACACCGGATTAATGTAGGCGGCTATTGGTGAAAACTACTATTCTATCTCTACTGACTTCTATGTTGTATATTCATATATACATACATATATAAATTTTTATTGAAAGTTTTTCTATAACATTGAATGCTTGTAGGTGGTCTATACTCGTTCATGAGAGTTAACAGGCGTTAGTAAGGAAGTTATTTCTTCTATAACATAACATCTGGGTATCTACTATTGCTAAACATACAATTAGAGATTACCATGGGATATAAACTAAACTCTTTCTTCAAAGTTATTTCATAAATTATTTACTTTATCTAAATACAATAATTGCTATTCATAACAAAATAATTTATAGTTCATTTGAAGCCTTCAATTGAACTAAACTGATATTTAAAACGGCATTCATAATAAGAGGTAATTGGCTCAATAAATAGAAAATTAAGAAATAATTTGGATTCAATGTCCCATTTCATTAATCTCAACGTAATCAATAAATGATTGACCATTTCTTTCTATTTATTTGATGTGAATTTATTGTATGTTTCTTTTCAATTTAGCCTGTTTTTCCCTCTCACAAGTATTACATGTATTTATCAATGCCAAGGTTGGAATTGATAGTTTTAAATAAATTAAGCATTGATTAGAGAGTTAATCAAAAATAAAGTTAATTCGATTTGGTTATTTATTTACTCTGAAGAAGTGGTTTACATTATGTCACGAAACTCCAGAAATACAAATTTTCTACTTATTGGGATATAACAAAAAAAGATTATGTTTATTGTTACGTGTATTGTTTTACACAGTTCAGTATTTATATGACAGGTAGAAATCGTTTTAGGACCTTCATTTAGATTTCTTGGTTAAGGACTAACTTGATCGGATAATTGTGTACATAAATGACAGTTTTAATTTCAAAGAGAGTAAGAATAAAGATTTAAATAAATTTAGGCTTAAATCTTTATTCTTCCCTTCTTCAATAAAGTAAAGGGAATTGCATAGGTAAAGTCTTAATTGCTTTATTTGTCCAAACAGTTAGTTAATAGTTCTGTTCTTTAAATTTAATTCAATTTGGCTTCGAGTGATGTTTCTATAAACCAATTATTACTATACATGCCATAGTGGTTCCATTATTTCATTAGACAGGCTTGACAATTACAGCAAACATCATCCATGAAATGTAAAAATATTTAATTTACATCCTAAAATGTACGTTCATATAAAAGGTGAATGATTATGTATCCAAAGCATGCAGATCGATTAGAATACACTAGGGATTGTTTGTGTTAATTGTTTGAAAACTACGATGTTTCACCTGAGATAGAGACATCTGATCATTATTTCGTAAATTAGGAGGATTTTCATTGAGAATCTTTTATAAACTACATAAAGACTTTAGAAATTGTTATTCAGAAGTTGAGTCTAGTCAACGGTCATTTTCAAATTGAATTGATTTAGAAATTGTTGTGGATTGATTTATTAAATATTTGTTGTGGACTGAAATATTTTTTGAAGAGTTTGTAAAAACATAGCAAATCTTAAGAAAGCGATAAAGCTTTTAGGCACAACTGATAGGTTGGATGTCGAAACACTATATAATATGAATTACAGTTAGACTAGAACAATTTTAACTACCATGTCTCGCATAATACTGATTTATGCCATAAAAAGTCAGTTTTGTGAAAGATAAATATAATATCTATTGACAAATACTTGCTCTTTAAGAATCCTATACGTGACTCAATTCTATTTCTGAAAATTTTCCTATCTCTTTATAAGACAGAGTGATAGAGAGTAAACTTACAACGTATTCTGTAGTCTGTTGAACACTGCTAGCTTTGACTAGTTTAGTTGTTTCTGAATAATCATGTTTTTGTTTCTTTTTCCTTTTTTTACTTTCAGGTTTCTCTTGCTTTCCACTTGTAGTTGAAGAGGATTCATTTGTAAATGTGGTTCGTTTACGAGTTCTTCTCTTTACTTTCTTAATCCCTTCCGTTTCTTTAACTGTAAATGGTAATAATAGTAATTATAATCATAACAGAAACAAAAACCCAACTAATCATGAAAACATAATTGAAAGGATTTAGATTATGAAGTTTATTTTTGAAATCAGTCAGCTACATGCCACTTTATTTCCCTTTATGATTTGAAGTATCACTACGCTGTTGTCTATTTTTGAAGGAAATCACAAATTCTGCTTTAATCCTGTTCGTAATTTAGTAACATATTTTGCAAAAATCGACATACGAAACTTTGTTTTCGTTGAATATTAAAACCAAAGTTTCGAAAACTCTGTATTCTTGAATTTTAAATTATTATACGTATAGTGGATTACCATTGAACATGGTCAGCTGCAGATAGAAAAGAGCTAACCATTATTAGGAATAAATTACACTGGATATTCTAGGCTATATTAGTGATTATGATTTTCCAACAGTAACCTATTTTATACTCTGATATTACGGTCCAATGGTCACATTTTCACAAGCTATTTCATTTCAGTATCCATTGATTATTTGCAGAGGAGACACTAAAATAACAATATACACAATGCACCATAACGCTTTAGTAAATTAAGTAAATATAATTAGAAATGGGATTTCGGAGTTGAGTATGATCTTTGTATACTGCTATTTTGAATATGACTGCTTTTAGACTTAAACTCAATTTCAGACATGATTAGTATATTAAAAAAACTCAGTCAATCATCCATACTTCCTTCCTTCCTTACGCTTGTTACCCTTCGTGGAGGAGCATAGGCCACACCACCAGCAATCATCCATAGCACTAATATGAATAAAACTTAGTACATAAAAGAAATAGATGATCTTATTTATTGGTAGCATTCGGTGATCAATGCGTGCTTAACAAAAGTCTAGACATTACGTTTAGTCATAGTTATTCTAAGATTCTTTTATAAATTAACAGGCTTTTACAAGCACAACATCATATATTTAGAATATTTTAACTTGTATATTGATGATAATGAATGATTTAACTTTCAAAAACTTTTAAAATAACCAGTATCAATCTTTTTACCTATTATTTTAATGCTATCAAAAGATTATGACCACTTTAACTTGACAATTTCATGGTACCTGTTGTGGCTTTAAACTTGGGTCGATTTTTACCCTGTGCTAATTGTTGTGTCCTTGACTGAAAAACTACAGAGCAGCGTATTTATCGATCGATTCAATGGCACGTAAACACGTACGAAAGTAATGGGCGACCTAGAGTTCCGATTGGTCCCGCTTCCCTGTCTATCCCAACCAGTTGAGTCCAGAACACAAATCTCAGCTTCTGAGTTATGAATCATTGTAGTTCAGTCACAACAGTACCTTTACCACTGAAAGTAGTATCTACATCTTAAAAGATCTTTACTAGTTTGGGCAGTTTTCCAAAATTATACCGGTTATAGGTTATCATCACCGAATTCTCAATTGATACTTTCAGGATTTTATGAATAAATTGGAAAAATAAATTCGACTTCTTAAGAAAATAATTACATAATCTTAAAAGAATCACGTGACAAGATTATCTTCACTTTTGAAAAACTTAACTATCACTTTATAATTCAAATAATGAAGTATCTAGAACTCAAATTTAGTATCCAAAGCAACTAAAACAAATTATTCAAATTGAATGGTATAATTTAAATGACAAATTTGTTTTTCGATATAAGTAAGCGCCATTTTCTTAATCTGAAGTAACTAAAATCTATTTTATTTGAAATTTTTTTTCAACTAAGTGAAAACCATTGAACAGTAGTATGGGGATGAATTTTTAAAAAAAATTATAACATAGTAAGCAACTATACAATACGTTCTTAGAATAATGCTATGTACAGTTAACCATGAATGGTTATTATTTGCATTAGTTAACAGTTTTTAAATAGATGTATCCAATAGGGTCCTTTTAGAAAGATAGCTATTTATAGAGTAAGTTTAAATAATAACAACAACAACAAAAAAACGTTAACGGGGATAAGTAAAGAAGAGAATGAACAATATTCTTAAATGATATAACTCTATTTGCATTTAGTCATAAAATTGCATGAAATTGTATTTGTAGAGGGATAAAGGAATGAATTAACTGGTCTCCCATGATAAAATTATTACCAGGAAGGAAAATGAAACTTTTTTTCTTTAGACAGTTAGTTTTATTATGCGATTCACATTAATCGACTATCAAATTCATCTAACTTTTATTTTAAATTATTCTTCCATCAAACTAGACTGATGTAATTAAACGGCAGTACAAATAATATATAGGTATCTAGATTTTGTTCGATTATGTTCAATAGTAAAAAGTGATGCCAATAGTGTTTGAACCAGTATTTTCATCAAGTACATTTTATCGCTTTTGGATGTATTATTATACCATCCGAATAAACGTCGAAAATACAAATGCAGTAAAGTTAAGGACTATGGATTTGGGAATGCCCCTGATATACTAAGGAGTTTATTAACCAGCCAGATAATGAAAGCTTAAGTGATGGAAAATACCTGATTGTCAACGTCCAAATACTTATTTTTATAGATTAAACCATGAACTCATGTTAGCTAGACCAACACTAAAAACCTGGAAGGACTGGATGGCCTTTTCGTTCTGGTGTAGGATTCCTCATTAGCGAGTATCTATGACTTTGAACCCAGGATCGCAACCCAGTACATTTGGTCTCGTGCATGAATGCTTAAATTTATGTCCACTGATCAGGCATCTAATAGTGTTAACTTCTAACCCCAATCAATCCACTACATTGTGCAATCTTTATTTATTGCCTATGGTGGATAACTATCTCTCGCCCGATACAGATCAAACTTCACTGGTCGCAACTTCTGTTAATCAATATTTATTATTCATTTTTTCGGTAGCTTATTCTTAACATTAATTGAAATCCATCTAGCAAGGAAACACTTTCATATCGTGCTTATTAATAATCCTCTTGATATCCTTCAATGTTTCTATAGGGTATTTAAGCATTTTTATCCACAGCATTTATACCACCATAGGTCAAATTTCAACAATAATCAGAGGCTTAATTATTCGGTAAACTTTTATGATTTTGGTCAATCTCCAATTATTTTCAAAGATTAATGTCACAACTAATTGTATATAACTATTCTCATTCTACATATTCAGAAATAATTTAGATTTTCCACAGGTTGAAATCATGAGTCAGTTGAAGCTAGACCACCATTGAAAACCTGGAAGCACTGGACAGCCGTTTCGTCCTGGCATGGGACTCCTCAGCAGTGCGCATCCACGATCCCGCACCACGCGGGGCTCGAACCCAGGACCTACTGGCTTCGCGCGCGAGCACTTAACTTAGATTTTAAAAATGTAATTTCAGATTTTTAATGAACAAAAACAATTTTTATGTCCATGGCACTATCATTTAACCATTGAATTCTTAAATAACCCATACAATCATTTTTTCCCTATTGTAAGTAAACATTATTGACGTCTTATGGCTTATATTGTTCATACTATATGAAAAAACGTCAATGTCTGAACAAAACCCGATAAACTTTAAGAGAATATCTATCTCTAAATCTTATATACATATATACATATTCTTTGACAATTTTGATTTTCATCACTACTCTGAAGAAATTCAAGCTAGAGTACTAAATGGAACGTTGAAATTATTCAAATCTCAATAGCTGAGATTATTGAAAAAATAAATTTTACATTTTTATTGAAATAGTTTATTCAAGAGTAAATTTCAGGCCAATAGTATTTCGAGAACTAAACGACTTTTTAGTTTCACATTCTTGATAAGTTAGACTAACACAATAGCTTTTAAATAACGAGGCAAAGATAGGTGGAATATTCAGAGTTTAGCATATAGTTTAAAAGATTTTCTTGTAATGAGATGACATTATATGAATTTCTGAAAAAGACTAGTTGATTTAATCTCATTTGATTTTAATAGCTCATGGAGAAAATTTGACTGGCTTCATGAACTATGCTCTTTTAATGCATCAAAGTATTGACCTACATTAACTTAACATGACAGCTATAACAATTTTCATATGTGTAAAAATCCTTATTTATTTATTTATTTCAACACATAGATATTTATACAAAGAGGCACCGAATACATATGCGCCACACAAATCTCATTAGATATGTGTGAGGGCTGTGATACTGCCCAGGTGCCCAAACCGAAACAGGTGGTTTTCTTAGGGGGCCACACCCGGAGCCTTCGACCTGAGGGTCTGATCCACAAGGCAGTGGAGCATCGTAAGGAGATGCAGTCCCATGGAAGCCGGTGACCAACAATTGGTTTATACGCCATTTGTTCCCTGGAGCCCATGTGCACCATTGGTTTGTGATCCGGTTAAAGCGCCGGACATTCGCTTTTCGTCCTCTCATTTTCGTAAACAACACCCCCGCCACGAGAAGGCAGTGAGTAGGACTTCCCTGGCAGAGGCAGAGGCACTGAATATAAATCATTGAGTTTCAGTTTACTTAAAGTTGAAAGAGAAAACATCATATGCTCAATTCATCGTTCTACACAGCTATAAGATATTTGAAAATGACACCAATAGTTTTGTCTCCTATTTTTGAATGATACTTAAATGCCATTCACTTATAATGAAAACAAGTTACCTTTATACTATTTTAAACAATCAGCTACAATTTATTTTTATTTATTGTACGCTTTTTAAGTAGATAAATAGCAAATTATTCTTACTTTTTTGTACTAACGTCATATAGACATACAAAAATACAAACATAACAATTTTTATAACTTCTCATTTATCTTAGTTACTCACGTGGATGTTGAGAAGTGTAATTTACAATATGACTATGAATAATCACAGAAAATAAGTTAGTTATTCACAGGTTTTTATTATATTCATAGCTGAGATTACAGAGAGGATAGAAGTGCCCAAGTAGGGGATAACTATGCAAATGACAGGTGAGAATGTATGTAGTATGATAGCATTACGAGTTTGAAAATTCTCAAACACTCTACAGAACATATATATACA